TCAATAACATTTTCGAACTATATGATTACTATAATTCAAAATAACATTTTCTTTATAAATTCGATTTATATAAAAAAAATTCAATGATATATCATTTTCAATAACATTTTCGAATAATAGATTAGTATATAACATTTTCAATAACATTAAGGATATAAATAGTTTTGCTTTCAATTTAATTTTGTTAATATTAAGAATTTAAGACAATGTCATTAAAACAGTTAAAAAAAGAATCATAATCTTAAATCTTAATCAAATATTTTAAATATCTATATTATTAAATGTAAAATATTATATGGACATTTTTATTTTATAATTAATGTTAAAATCTTTTAATTGTGTTTGGTTATATGGATAGTGGAGAATTAATAATAAAGTTGTTTAGATACATGATATAAGTAATGATATTCTTTGTAAATAATATAGAAACAAATAATTTTCTCTAAAATGTACTTAAAAATGTATATATACTTTAAAATATTATTTTTTAAAGAATTATTTTTGGATTGTAATATTTTTGAAATATACATTACTGCTCTTCGAATTTGTTTAAAATATTCTTTTTGTGCTTAAAAAGGGATGGTATCTCCAAAAGATTCACACCTAATGATATCGTGGAAAAAAAACAAAACTGAATTAGAAAAAAAACTATATCGATGTCTATTTTCCTGAAAAATAAAAGAACATTCATGTAGAGTTAACGACGAAATACACTACAGTAAAAGTATAATTCTTTTTGTTTGTTAACAAAGATATAGGAATATATTTGAATTTTTAAGGTAAATTAGTTGTAATATAAATTAAAAATTTAAGCGAGAATTATGGGGTTATATCTTGCCATATAACCAAATTGGATCTTTAGCGTAGTATTCTCCTTTTTCCATATCAGAATAATATCTATTAATTAAAAAAAAATCTTAACTACACATTACATAGGCAATAGCATTTTAATAGAAAATATTGATTAATGCCAACAAATTTATATATTTATAAGTTTATTATTTACCAACAACAAAATCATAAATTTAAAGTAAACTAAATGCCCGATTCTCTCATATGACATGCGTTGTGGAGCCAATAAACGCTGATTTTTGAGTGAGTAGCTTGGGACGTCCATGTGCCTTTGTCAGATTGGTTGATTTTGATTGTTTGTGTCTACAAAATGATAAGAAATTTGATGACATTAGTAAAGTTGATACACGTACTGAAATGTGATCTAAACCAAATTGCAAAGTATAAATGATGATAGTGGAAATAAATTCTTTAGCTCAAACGAACCTCCGCTCGTGCATCAGTATTTGCAAGTCTTTAGCAATAAAGAAGAAAACTTCCTCAACGTTTAAGTTAGTCTTGGTACTCTGCAATTAGTAAACTCTTCATTCATCAAAGTTAACCAAATGAAAAGAATTTAACCTTTTTCTATATGAGTGTATCATCATCGTTTTTTCTTCTTTCCAAATCAATATGAGATGTAGGTCTCTCATCTCTCTCCTCTTCCTTCTCTTCTTCACTTCATCTGCTTACACTCGATTCGTCTCCCTACATCCATTATCAAAACGGTCTCTGGCTGAGGAAAAGGAGGAAGCTTGTGAACAGACCTATGGGTGTATACAGTGTACTAAGACCGCTCTTGGAAACGTGTGACTTATCTCTCTGCCGAAAGTGAGCTTCTTTTTGAGATCCTTGGCCCTGAAAAAAAAGTGAATTTTTGTTAGGTTTTGCGAATCAAATAGTAAAACGATGAAGAAAAAATAAATAAAAAAGAAAGAAGAAAAACAATGGATGCATTGGTCAATGAATGGATGACTTTATATAAGCAGAGAGGATGTCAATTTAGGGTTAGAATATTGTTTAAGCAATATTACGAATTTATGATACTCGAATATATTAGGAATATTCGTATTATTAGTTTATTTAATTCAAAAATTAGAATTTGCGGATTTAAAGGAAGATCTTCTCGAGATGTTAGGAACATAATCGAGATTTTAGTAACCAATTGTGATCACATTTAATTTTCGGAAGTTTTGAAAGATTTGTGTCAAAATTTGTAGAAACAAATTAGGATAGATAATGTTTAGTTAATATCTTTTTAAATGTTTTCAAATCTTTAGAATTAAAGCCATTGACAATGGTATGGAAATAATTTAAATTGTTTGAGTCATAATTATGATTTTAAAATATTGTATTGCAGAATTGGTAGATAATATAGATGAGATATGGTATCTAGAAGTTGTTAGTTAAGATGTTGTAAAGATTTGAAATAATGTAGAGATAAAAAAGAATATAGCCGATTAATATGGCAATTAGTTTAGGAAATCACATTAAACGGAAATGAAAGAGTAATTATAGTCATAATCGGTGATTTTGTTTATTACAAATTTTCTTAAATATCTTATCCAGGATCCGAACAGAATAAAACCGGGTCAAAACCCGACCCATTTGAATTAAAATCCAAAATCCCCTCCAAAAATGTAAATGTAGATATAATGTAATTTCTTACACTTCTCAAACAAAATATACAATTTTCAATGATATATCATTTTCATGAACATTTTTGATAACATGTTCGAATAATGGATTACTATATAAAATTTTCAATAACATTTTCGAATAATATATTAGTATATAACATTTTTACTAATTGTGTTACATTTTCAAATTGATTAGTATATAACATTTTCGAATTATATTAATTGTGTTATCGTTTGAAGAGATTTTTTTCCGAATTATATGTATTATATAAACAAAATATTTTAATATCTTTAAACCCGTTGACCCGTTGACCCGTATTAGTGAAATAGAATAAAATGATTATAATTAGAGATCTCTAATGGCATATATTGTAATTTCTTACAAAATCTAAGTTATGACTCTTAGGATGTAGTTCCCAAATATTAGTATAGGATATATATATATATATATATATATATATATATATATATATATATGATATCTAATTATTTTACCTCTAAAATATTTATGACAATGTGCATATTCTTGTATTAAACATGTATACAAAGAGTAGAGATATATGGTAACATGTATTACCTTTTTGATAATATTATTACTATCCACTATTGATCATTTATTCGAATTCAAATATAGGTAAGATTTATGGGAGATATTAAAACCATCATAGTTTATATACACGAATATGATCCTCATAAGATTCTTAGCATTCTCGCTTGATATTGATATCATAGCAGTTTCTTTTTCTGTTTGAAAAATCTGACTATTTTCACATAGAGAAGTTAATCTTTAAAATGTTTACTTTCTAAACATACTAATACATATATTTCTTTGCAAGTATTATCAAATGCTTCAACACGAAAACTTATTTGTTTGATTGATCTTGAATGTGGCATGAAAGAAACCATATCATATTCTTTCTGTGTTATATATTTTTATCATAATTTTTCCAGTATATGTCTTGAATCCCCAATTTTCTAGAATAGTTTGTTGATAGATTTTATTTCATACAATGTGTACAACAAAATATAATTTCTATTTCAAAATTATACAACAAAATATTATTTCTATGTTCGACAAAATTTACATTCAAACCTCTATGATCCTGTTTTTAGCAATTTGTCATTCTTATTTACATAAATCCACAAACATCTCTCATCATCCATAAATACATATTAAGCCTTACAATTTTAGCCGAGTGAATTATGGTTCAAAATTATAATATGTAACTATTATTAAAAAAAATTATGTGTTGTAACGTAGATAAAAGAAGAAAAAATTCATAACAATAAAAAAAAAAAGTGATTAAAGCCTATAATGTATGTGTTTAAGACGGGTTTTTTGAATAGTATAAGATTACCCCGAATTTAAATGGTCAGATTTTAATCTTCATTGATCAAAAAATAATTTAAGATCAAGAAATAAATAGGCTTGCTATAAATATCTCTATAGGAGTGTCAAAATGAATATGGGGTAAACTCAACTCAACTCAACCCTAATGAATTGACTATTTTGACCCTAATGGGTTGATGGGTCAATGAGTTGATGGGTTAAATGATTTCGGTTCTAATGGATTAATGAGTTAACCATCAACCAATCAATTTATTCATTATCCACATAATATCATCATTATAATATCATAGCATCATAATACCATCACCATAATCATCATCATCATCATACCATAATCATCATACTACCATCATCATATCATCATCATCATATCAACATAACATAGTCATGATAGTTATCATCATGATGTTATCATCATGATGTTATCATCAATATAAACTAGTAATTTTCCCGCCAAAACGTAAATATATAGTTTTTACGCCAGAAACATAAATCCGTATTTTTTCCCGCCAAAAACGTAAACCCGTAATTTTTCCGCCAAAAACGTAAACCTGTAATTTTTCCGCCCAAAATGTAAACTCGTAATTTTCCCACCAAAAACGTAAATCCATAATTTTCCCGCAAAAAAACCCATTTATATATTTAGAATTTCCTCAAATCATTTTTAAATATATTTTTTAGATATTACTTTATAATGATGTTTTTTCAAAGGTTTACAAGAAATATTAATCACATAATTGGTCATTTCACAATCCTCTTGTGTTACTTTCTTTATTTTTCAATTTATAGTGTTATATTTTTAAATAACTTATCAAAAATAGTTATTCACCTAATTCACTCTAAATAAATTTCAATGTTGAAACAAACAAAACAAAAAAGCGTCAAAGAATAAAGATTTAAATTATCTTACTCCTACTATTTTTCTCTGCCACGATTGTTCGTACTTCGTAGAAAGAAGAGAACGTGACCAAAGAATAATTCAAGTGCATAATCAGGGGGTCCCCATAATCAGGTGGCAATGTCTTAAACATGGGCTTTTTATATATTTGCAAAGGCCCAATTTATAAACGGCACGTAGTTTCTATCCACTTGACTTAAAGAAAACAGATTGTTTTTTGGGGCTATTTTAAATAAACGGCACGTAGTTTATAATAACTGCTTTCTTCTTCGTGCGATACAGTTCTGGGGTTTGCTGAAGAAGATTCTGGAAAACAAAATCCTCCATCACAATTGATTCGTGTTCTTGAAACGAATCGATCAATTCAAACATATGTACGTATTTTTCAATCTTATTTCCTCTTTCGAATTTCAAATTCATCTTTTAATTTCTCGCTTTTTTTCTGATCAGGAAACACTCGGTGAATCGGTCTCCGACACTTGACGAAGACGATGTAGCGGAAGATTTTGAGAAAGACGAGGTTACGCTTCGAGAAATCATCAACGTCAAGGTTTCAGATTTTTTTACTACGAAATCGATTTCAATTGCTGTTGTGGACTTTTGATTGAAAGGTTTTTGGAAATTTGATCGTAATAGTTGGTGGAGAGTGGAGAGAAGGAGAATCTAATGGAGCTTGTGAGAGATAGATTGGTGGAGTGTGGTTGGAAAGATGAAATGAGAATTGCTTGCAGGTTCTTTATCCTTTTAACCTAAATTTGAATTCGTTTTGTGAATAAGTTTTGATTCAGAGAAATCTTCTGAAGTTGGTTGTTGTTTCTGGTGATTAGGGTTTGGTTAAAGCTTCTAAATTTGGCTCTAAGTTTAGCATACTTCTCTTAGGAATATGCATCATTGATTCTAAGAAAATTCTTCTAATCTCGTTTTGTGAACAAGTTTTGATTCAGATCAATCTTTAAAGATGGTAGTAGTTGGTGGTGACTGATTAGGATTTGGTTACCGCTTCGAGAATGTTGTTATTTTCTGGATAATGCATCATTGATTCTAAGAAGAACCTAAAGATCTTGCTATAAGATATTGTTGTTGGTGTAAAGCAAAAGATTTCAACTTTTATTTAGTTTTGTTAACTTGAGTTGAATTAACAAGTGAGCTATCTTTTATATGAGAACTTGGTTTTGTTTGGAAAATGTGGTTGGTTGTTGCTACATTTGAAGTTCTTCTTTTGGAATGCAGGGAGCATGTAAAGAAGAAAGGGAGAAAAGATGTTACAGTCGATGAACTGATCCGAGTGATCACTCCAAAAGGCAGAGGTAAAAAGATAACGAATGAATTCATTTAAGATGAAAACGGAACATGAACACCAGTTTCTTATATCTCTTTGATTCATTGTTAGTTAGCTTGAATTTCTTTCTATGGATGTTCGTCGTGTATGTGTGCAGCTTCAGTACCAGATTCTGTGAAGGCAGAGCTGTTGAACAGAATTCAAAACTTCATTGTATCAGCTGCTCTTTGATGATGGTGTCTGACAATTTACTACGAAGATGGTGTTGTTGTCTCTATGGTTGTTTTCTACTTGTAGCCAAACGCTAACCAGAGAGAAACCATAGATTTTATCGATGTATCATCTTTGCTGTTGTAGAATTAGCTTTTTCCATATTTCATCTCCTTTTTATACCAAATGAAACGTTGTCTCAGTAATGGATTTTGATAAACATGGTACACAATATATGAAAATGAAAGCACTAAATCGAACCAGGTTTAGCTCTACAAGAAACTGCAAAGTACAACAAAGTTAGATCATAATATAGTTAGAAGATGACTCAGATGCTTAAAAGTTAACTTGTCATTTAGGACATTTGTTTTCTCCTTACACAAGCAAACACAAACAGTAGCTCACATCACTTTTTTGGCTCTGTTTATAGTAGTCTGTCTTTCTCTCTATATTCTTCTACATAAATCTTTGTTTCAAAGAGTATCGAATCTCTCACAAACACAGACACACAATCACACATCAGACTTGACACGAACGGGAGTAGTCGCTTATTCGGCAGAGCCTCTTCGCCCTTTTGCTTGCCTTAAGACCACACATACTCTCATCCCTTCTTAGTAAACATACATTTGAATCCGACTCTTAACTAAATCCCAAAAGCTTACGCTCTTATGGTAGGTAATACATATATATAGATAGATTTCATACAAAACCACCCTCTTCGCAACGCAGCATTGCAAGGTTGATCGTTTTGGCTTAAGCAGAACCAGCTTGTTCACAGAGGTCTAGCAGATCCAATGTCTGCAAAAAACATCACAGTCATTACATAATCAAGCCTCAATAAAGCTCTATATGCAAAGGGTCATTACTTAAATTAGTGATGATCATAATGCTTCTACATTAGCTTAGAGGATTTACTTCAACGTTCCAACTTCACATCATGAAACACAATATAGAAATTTTTGTTTTGAAGAAGTTTAAGATCACAGTTCAAATTGGACAAGAGATTAGCTTTCTTTTATAATATGATGTACAATGAAACCATTCAATATCATGTTTATGCACTTATTTTTCTTGTTATATGGACACGCACCTCAGGAACAGAGAGCTCAAGGCGGAATTTTGGACCATCATAGTGGTGAAGAACTGGCCTAAAGGAGTCCTCTTCCAAGGCTTTGCAGATTTTCCTCACTCTGATCCTTACCTGTTACAATTTAAGAGAAAGAAGTTGAATTTGGTACAAGATATCAAAATGAAGACTTAAACGATGAAAATCACTGTAATTTAAGGTTCACCTGAGCTGGAAACCTTGACTCTCCTTTGCACTTTTTGTCTTCCCAAGCAGTAGCATCAATATTAGTACCTCCAAAAGTTGTTGCCTAAACAAGGAATCATGTCAAGGAATAATTCGAACATCAAAATTTTAATAAATGGTAGCATCAAAACCATTGTTATGACAGAACAAGAAGCACGAGAACAAACCTCAAAGATACCATGGAGCTGGTGAGTGGTGTAGTTGTAGAGAAACAGAGGCAATCCAGGTGTTATAGCTCGAACAGAGTCTCTGTATCTTGGAGGTAAACCTGAAAAATCACACAACATTAAGCATGAGGGCAGTCTGAATTTCAGTAAAACACTGAGAAAGTGTAATGGAACTTACCAAAGAGGTGACGTTTCATGTCCTCCTGCATGGTATCATTGTTGCAAACAAAGATGTAACCACCAAGAACTTCGTTCCTCGGAAGCGTCTCCGAAGCAGGCAAGGTTTTAAACCTCTTATCAACAGCCAAATTCATATTCCCATTATCATTGCTGTTGTTATGTTTGTTGTTACTCATCTCCTTGTTAGCAACAACATTACCATTATACTTGTTAACTTTCGTGTTCCCTCCACTCTTAAAATCATTCTTCTGGAAAACAGTATTCATATTATAAACATTGCTCTGCATCGAAGTCTTCCCCATGACACCTTCACCAAATTTACCATCCAAATTCAACATGTTGAAGTTAAGATTGTTCTCCTGGAAACTAAATTTCTCACTTGGTCTGAACTCAGTGTAACCTTTAGAGAGATCAAGATTGTTCATCCTCTCCCCTTTCATTCTCGTTTGCTCGGCTAGCTTCGTCGCAACAGTAGACCATTTGTGATCCTCTGATGCTCTGGTCTGACCTCGTAGCTCATCACCCAATTGCCAGAAGCTGTCCATAACTCAAAAACTCTACCATAAACAAAAACAAAACCCACAAGGAAGAAGATTAAACTACAATTGATCGATTGATACAATTTTCTCGACTTTCGATCAATTCACAGGTAAAAACAACCAAATCAAAGCTAATTCAAAAGAAATTCGAAAGTTCTTGAATCCCAAACCCTAATCAACGACTGAACACACAAACTTCCATCAAATTTCAAAGAAAAACCCAAATTTATCATCGGAAATTTCAAAACACGACTCCTAGACTGAGAAAAACCAAAAACTCTGTAGATTCAAGAATCCAGAGATTTTGGAGCAGAATCTAAGCAATCGACACTAGATTTAGGGATTATAGAGGAAGATAAACATAGAAAATCGAGAGAGAGAGAGAGAAGAGACAGACCTTTTCTTCTTCGTTTCCTCAAAATCCGGCGGACGTGAGGATGAGAAACCGAAGAAGGAAACACGTCACAACAGAGAATGTGAGAGAAGAAGAAATGGTCCTCAATGGTTGGTTGGATCTGTGAGATTTTATCAGACACTCTTTTACCCAAATAGCCCTTCGTTGTTTGAATTATTTACGTTGTTTTGCCATTGCCGTATCAAACACGCGTCATTGCCTCAGTAGCTTTCATTCAAGTTTGAAAGCTCAACTTTTGGATCCAGTTTTTTTCTACGGTTGCTGACTCATTCTTGACCGTCCGATCTAGTTGACAAAAGACATTAGTATTAGATTTTTATTTTCCTGTGTTTAATTTTTTTTTGTGACAACCATTTTTTGGTGTAGATATTTTTCGTTTGGACAAAATAGATTTTTTTTTGTTTCTTACAATATTTTTTAAGTTCAGATATTTATTTAGAAAAAGGTATTCAATGTGTGAATTTTTCAATAAAATGATTAATAGGTTTTGGGCCTAAGATTCGTACATCCTCTTAAGCTAAAGACCAAAATATTTTATATAATTTTTCTCAAATATCATTCTTTCTAAACTTTGTCTAAAATTTTTTACCAATTGAGATATTATTACTTGATAATTTTAGGTACTTGAACTAGTTGTAATCTTAGCTTATACTCAAAAAGTAAAAATAAGTTTCCAAAGAAGCATCTTTTATTCAAAATAGACATGTGTCTACATTATAAGTCGACAAAAGAAGCATATGCGAATAATTAAATAATGTTCTAAAACAACGAGTAATATGTAGAATCATAATAGAATATTATTAGGAAAATAATAATTTGGTATCATAAAAATGATCCTACATGATATACTAATATTTTACTAACCAAATTAACGATATTTGTAATATGTCACGGTAAATATTACTTTTTGAAAACCATGGGTCACATGTGATAATCATTATTACTAAATTAAATTAAATCACTTTTTCATCAAAAGGCTTTAATCTATTGTTTATAAATAAATAAAAATTAATAAATTTAGAAACAAAAGCAAGACAAATTATGAAATTGAAATGTCTAGGACAAATATTGTGCTCATTGGAAGATACAAAATTGAAATAGTTGTGAAGCAAATCTGGATATAGTTGATTAACCATCATTAATTCGGAACATACATTACATGTACAATTTTTTTATGTAATAGCAGAAGAAGACATATATTTTAAAACATAAGGCTTGTTTTAGTATCTAATTCTCGAACTTTTTAAAATCCAATTACATGCGTTTATGTTACAAATATCAGTATGATTCGACATCTTTATTATTAACTATACAATTTGGCTTTCTTTAATTGTTTCTTGAAAGAATAATAAGATAAGAACAACCAAAAAAAGGGAACATCTTAATCTTCTTTCATGTGATGCTCTTCCTTTTTTGCAATCTTCTTTTAACATAATAAATTATTGTTTCCTATCTGTGATTTTACATGTGGCAGGTGAGATTAGTCACATTGCAAGCTCACATAGCACTTGTGACTAAACATTCATAAATATATATTTAAAACTTTATTCCATAAAATTATCTTATAGAAACTATACAATCATTTTTAGAATAAAATCTGATAAATATTTGGAAGATAATTTGTCATTTGGATGGGCTTATAACGTTTGCTATATAAACAAGCGAACAGTCTCATAACAACATGAAATTAAGACGCTGGGCTTTTTACAAGTAAACATAAAGGGCCCATTATAAGCCCATTACAAAACGCTGCGTTTCATGGAGCCGCTTTTCTGATATTTCTCTGTGCCTCAGGTGTGAGAGAGAGAAGAAAAGGCAAGTTTTGTACGGAAGAAGAAAGCTTTGAGAAGCCATGGATACGGAAGCCGAGTTCGATAGGTTACTATTGTTCGAACAAATTCGTAAAGACGCAGAAGAGACCTACAAGTTAAACCCTTTAGATGCCGATGTTAGTTTTCTCTAACACTTCAGATTTGATCTGATTTTGTTTCGTATTGGAGAAAAGTCGAATCTTTTAGATCGATTGACTCTTCTTGAGTTTGATCTCTGCTTTGTGATTCCATGGTGGAAATAAAAAACTAATCTTTTTGATTATTTGTTGTTGTTGTTGCAGAACTTGACTAGATGGGGAGGATCTTTACTTGAGTTAGCTCAGTTTCATAGCATCTCAGATTCAAAACAAATGATTCAAGGTTCTTTAAAGCTATATTGTGTGTTAGGATTATGATTTCAGGATTCTTCACACTTGTTAAAAATAGGTTTTGGTAATGGTATAGAGCAAAATTCAATAATGATATCAAGTAGGTTATGATACTTAGGGATCTAACTATGATGGCAACATGCTCTGAAAGTTGGATTGATTACAGTTTGATGTTTGTGTGTGTAGATGCCATCACAAAGTTCGAAGAAGCATTGTTGATTGACCCGAAGAAAGATGAAGCGGTTTGGTGTATCGGGAATGCATACACTTCATTTGCGTTTTTGACTCCAGATGAGACTGAAGCTAAACATAATTTTGACTTGGCTACTAAGTTCTTTCAACAAGCTGTGAATGAGGTTATTTTGCTTTCCATTTAGAATCAATGTTGATACTCATCTTTTGTGTTTTGTGGTTTTAAAATCTGTGATGTGAAATAATACGTGTTTTTGATCTTTGCAGCAACCAGATAATCAACACTACCTGAAATCACTCGAAATGACGGCCAAGGTACTTCGCTATAGATCGAATCTTTTTTACATATACGATAGAAACCATCAGCCAATTATGTTCATATTCATTTTGCCTCTAAACCTAATCTCAAAGTTCTATTCTTTAATCGAATTTCTTCTCTACAGATCGATTTGTTGATTTGATAGGATGGCAATATTGCATTTAAAGTGTGCATTTTACCTATAAACCCAATCTCAAGTTTAGTTATTTAATCAAATTTCTTCTCTTTTGTGTTAAGCACAGGCTCCACAACTGCACACAGAGGTTCACAAACATGGCTTAGGCTCACAACCAATGGGTGGCGTTGAACCTTCAGCACCGCCGAGCTCAAAGGTTCTCTCTTTTGAGTTCATTCTCATAATCACATTTCGTTTTCAATATTTGATTGATGCATTAGACTTGTAGCTAATATAAGAAGATGGGTTTGAATCTCATGATCATATTTTGATGTATTTTTCCAAACACAGGCAGTGAAGAATAAGAAAAGTAGCGACGCTAAGTATGATGCTATGGGTTGGGTGATTCTAGCCATTGGTGTTGTTACATGGATCAGTTTCGCCAAAGCTAATGTGCCTGTGTCTCCTCCTCGTTAAGTAGTAGAGACTCAGTATGAGACTTTGATAAAGTTTTTCAATTTTTAAGGTTTTGACAAGTTCGAGCTTGTTGTGTGAGATTTTTAGACTCAACCATAAAAGCAGATTCTCAGTTGTACTACTAGTACTTGTTATTGAAACAAAAAAAAAAAACAAATTGTTCTTCTTTTGGTATCGAAAAACATGATTTTGAGGGACATATTACCAATTTACCATTCTTAACTACCTATGATACTTCATATACCTAATTTGCTTATGATTAAAAAAAAAAACTTAGAGAAATTAAAATACACCTTTGAGATGAAGGATGAAAATAAGAAATAAGATGATTCCTGCAATCACAAACACAGGAGCTTGTTCTTCGGCTTTATGTCGAATTTTTTCAGCGTTCATGTTCAATAACACTAACCCCACAAGTCCTATGAATATTAGTATAATCCATCCCATGCTTATAGAACTATTACTTTGTTCTATTTGACTAATAGCTTTTGACGAAGTTTCGCTACTAATAAAAGCGCCAATTAATTTTCATAGTCCAGCTGCACCAACAATAACACCTAACACAAATTCTGCCATTTTCTCTTTTGTGTATTTGTTTTTTCTTTTATATTGGCTGAGTTATTAATTTTTTTGATACTAAAAGGAGGCGTTTACTTTTATATTTTTATTTTTCTATGGGCCTGACTGGTTTAAACGCAGCGGTTGCGGTTGCGGTTGCGGGAGTTTGCGGAAGCGGGCGGTTGCGGCTTTAAGCGTTATCAAGCGTTTTGAACGACTGGTTTAGCGTTTGAAAATGGGTGCGTTTGCGAGAGTTTTATGACTGGTAAACCAGCGGGTGCGATAGCAGTTAAATAAAAAAATGACCAAAATAAATAAAAAAATATTACAAAAAAAAAAGAAATAAAAACACCAATATATTATTATGATAATATTAGAAAAATTTGAACATGCTTAATAATTAAAACCATAAATAAAGTACTAAATAATTATTCAAAAATAAAGAAATTTTGTAACAAGATAGTACTTTATGCAACTGGTTTAACATAAAAAATTGCATTAAGTAATGGGAGAAACTGTAAATAACGTTGAATTCAATCAAAAAGCAAGTGAGTTTCTATTCGAGAAAACAAATCGAAACATATATTCAATCAAAAAGCAAAGCAATACGTAATGAAAATAAAAAAAAACGATGCCTTGAAAAATATTCAAAAAGTTACACATGAGGTGATGAATGAATAAAAGGATATATGATACTTACGTTTGGTTATTGATTTTCATTAGTTTGGGTGGAAGACATTGAGAGAATAGAGTTTCAGAATATTATTAGGGTTTCTGATGAGAACGTGATACAAAGTAATACAAAGATGAAAGATATATATAGGATTAATATATATTATAATAATTATAAGTAAATGTTTGAATTTTTTTTTTTTTTTTTTTTTTAATCCAACCGCTACCGCCCGCAACCGCAAACGCTTGCGGGAAGGAGCTTTTGAAATTCAGCGATTTCGAGCGGTTCGAAGCGGGACGGAGCGGTTTCTATGATTGGTACCAACCGCTAACAACCGCAACCGACCGCTAGCAACCGCTAGGAGGGTGCTAGCGGGAGAACCAATCAAGCCCTATATATCATAGATTCACTTCTTTTTTTGTTTTTTTTTTAATTGAGTAGATTGAAACAAAATTATTGTCACTTAAATGATATAAGGTTTTAAATTAACTAATTTCTTATTCATTAATTATTTCTCTAAATATTTTTAGACTATGCATAAGAGACATGATTCTTTTTAAAAGTATTTAAAATTATAAATATTTTATAAGGATTTTGATGCATGAGTTGAAAATAAATAGAAATATGTAAGACCAAATTAACTATAGAAGGAAAAGACTCTAATGGGTAACAATTATAACCATAGTAAAATGTTTTTTTTTCTTTCTTAATTGTATATATTTGAATTTGATTTGGTTTAGTCGGTTCAGTTGTATGAATAGTTGAATACGGGTTTAGTTTGAATTTTCTTTGGTTTATTCGGTATCTTTTCATTCTGATTAATACTTATATAACTTGGTTCGATTTCTGTTTACCTAATTTTCAAATGCCCAACCCGATAACATGATTATATAATGATCTTATTAAAAAAATGTCCATTGGACTCGCTAATGGGCCTTTAAACTCAAAGCAAATTTACGAGTATGTACCTCACAAAATGTCACCCAAAATGTCACACGAAGGCGCGTGTACCTCACACAATAACACACGAAAACCACATACATTCGCGTCCCCACCAAGAGTTTCGAGTTTTCATAAAATGTCGTTTTTACTCTCCTACTTACCCGGCAAATTTATCGCATGTTGTCGCTAAACTTTAACATTTCCCTCGCTTCCATGACTAAATTTCAGTGTACACTTCCCATAATACCCTTCATCTTCTCCAACAAGCTTTTTCCGGATCAAAATTCTCCAACAAGCTTACAAATTTCAAACATTTTTAATATTTCCCTCCTCTTATTTCCCTCTCCTCGACAAAAATTCAAAAACCCCCAAAAACCCTCTAATCTCCAGTATAAATTCTCATCCCTAGATCTCATAATTCATCAATCAAACCATCTCTTCAATCAAATATCTTCTTCAATCAAACCTTCAAAGATGCCTTCAATGCCAGAAGAGCCACTTCTAACACCAAGCCCAGACAGATTCTGTATGTTCCCAATTCACTACCCACAGATTTGGGAAATGTACAAAAAAGCCGAAGCATCTTTCTGGACCGCTGAAGAAGTAGATCTATCACAGGACAACCGCGACTGGGAAAACAATCTCAACGACGGTGAACGTCACTTCATCAAACACGTCCTCGCTTTCTTCGCCGCATCTGACGGAATCGTACTAGAGAATCTCGCTTCTCGATTCATGTCTGATGTTCAAGTCTCGGAGGCGCGTGCTTTCTACGGTTTCCAGATCGCGATTGAAAACATCCATTCGGAGATGTATAGTCTCCTTCTCGATACTTATATCAAAGATAACAAAGAGAGAGATCATCTCTTTCGCGCCATCGAAACGATTCCTTGCGTCGCGAAGAAAGCTCAGTGGGCTATGAAATGGATCGACGGATCTCAAACTTTCGCTGAACGAATCATCGCTTTTGCTTGCGTCGAAGGTACCTTAATTTACGATTTTACCCTTTTATTTTATCTTCCTCGTAACTAAACAAAATTACGATTTTACCCTTGTTATATTGCGTGGATTATCTGTTTAATGACGATTTTGACCTTGTGTTGAAGGTATCTTCTTCTCCGGAAGCTTTTGTTCAATCTTCTGGCTAAAGAAACGAGGACTCATGCCTGGACTAACATTTTCCAACGAATTGATCTCTCGTGACGAAGGCTTACACTGTGATTTCGCTTGCCTTCTCTACACACTTCTCAAAACGAAGCTAAGCGAAGAACGCGTGAAGTCAATCGTCTGCGACGCGGTCGAAATCGAGAGAGAGTTTGTGTGCGACGCGCTTCCGTGCGCGTTGGTTGGGATGAACCGTGATTTGATGAGTCAGTATATTGAGTTTGTTGCGGATAGGCTTTTGGGTGCGCTTGGGTACGGGAAGGTGTACGGTGTTACTAATCCGTTTGATTGGATGGAACTTATCTCGCTTCAAGGGAAAACTAACTTTTTTGAGAAACGTGTTGGTGATTATCAAAAGGCTTCTGTTATGTCTAGCGTTAATGGTAACGGCGCGTTTGATAATCACGTCTTCTCTCTTGACGAAGATTTTTAAAGAGTTTTGTGTTTTTATTGTTATAATTACGATTCTACCCTTGTATTATTGCCGTGAATTATCCTTTGTTTTTAATTTAATGAATAACAATTAGCTGCTTTTTCTACTCTTTCCTCGGCTTAATCACCATGATTTAGTGTTTAATCCATTAATTTAACTTTAATTAAACCAATGATAAAAATTCAAAAAAGCGACGAAGAAAAAGAAAAAGTGAATATAATAAGGGGATCAACTTTTTTATTCAGTAAAAAAGTTAGGGGTATTTTCGTAATTGGTATTATTTGTGGCATTCCCAATTCCCACTTTGTTTACAGCTTTTTTTTATAATTTTTTTTTTGAGCAATGGCGTTGTCGCTGCAAAGCTCTGGGATGTTGACGAAAGAGCAAATGGTTTATCTATTTGATCGATTCGATTACTTGACTTCACAATCTGGTAAATTGTGTTTTCTTTGTTAAGGTTTCTGAATCCATTTTATTGATAGATTGATTCATTTCAAATTTTTGTTTTTCAGATGTGAAGAAACGAATCTCCGACGCTGTGGAAGATAAACAGGTGATTATTGCTAGAATATGCGTTTATTAGTGATTAATGCTTGCTTTGTAGTAGTTAAGAGACATAGTATTGTTGGTAGAGTAATGTCGTTTTCAAATTAGGTGAGATTATTATATAATTGGATGACTTATTACTTCATATGTTTGTGAACAAGGTTAAGTCTTGTTGGATAATTGAGGTTTTGGTTTAGTGTCATACATACTGTCATGTGGAATCAAACTTACACATACAGCTTTTGATTGATAAAATGGTACTGTATAGTTTACATATACTACATTGAGATCGAATGCAGGAAGCTGTAGCGGTAACGACCGCTATTCAAGAGGAGATATTCTTGGAGATGGGAATTGGTAGACTTCTCTTTAGCCTTTATTGGTTGTTTTGATTTATACACACCATTACATGTTTCTTACTGAAAGGTCTATTCGATAAAAGCAGACCCGGGATTTGGTATTGGCTGCTTGGGAAAGCTGAACTCTGCATATGAAAACGATAAAGAGTTGATGATTGGTTTCTACAAGTTTCTCGCAAAGTAAGCCCGCTCTCCTCAATGTTATCAGAAAGTTGTATATGCGGGTTTACTATATATATGAGGGACTAATTACACTGTTTAATAGGGAGGAGATGGCATGTGAAGAAGCTGAGCTTGGATTTGATGGATTTGAACAGAAAATGAAAGCACAACAACAATTACAAGAACAGGTAATGTCAGATTTGGTTACTTTAAAGAAAAACTATCTCTTCAAGGTCAATGTCTAAAATATTCGAATGTGCTTACTGCAGCAACTAGAGATGCTTAAGTATATGCGTAAATTCTCTCTGGATGATCAGTCTGCTATCCTTCAAAAGGTAAACTAAACAAAAATAATAACTGTTCTTACACTTTTCAACTACCATGAAAATATTTTCCATTTACATGAATAGAACAAGTTTTTCATTATAGCTTTTGGTCTATCTTACTTACCCGTAAATGAGAAATTGTCTGAGTCTAGTGAGGACTGATTCATATGAGACCAGAGTAGTCTAATATTCGTTGTTCTTGAACTAAATAGCTTCAGAAGCAATTAGAAAATGCGGGTTTTGAGCCGGAGGCGTCGCTGTTGTCAGGAGAGGAAATGGAGGAAGCTGGAAGAAGAAGAGTTTCGCCTGTTTTTGGAAGCAGATAGCTTCTCGGTGTTCGAAAGCTACTTCGATTTCTAATACTCAAGTCTCTCTCTCTCTCTCACTCTATCTCTTGTCATCTCCATATTGTACTAAACTCTTTAAACGTAAATGTTAAAAAAAAAAACTTGCCTCATTTGACTTTCAACTGCATTTTCATGTGAAGCCATTTTTTGATGTATATTGGTAGTAAATTAAAGATTGTCATCTCCAATAACTTATAAATTATAGTTGAGAAAAAAAGGAAAAGAAAGATAAAACAGTTTACAATTTTGTTCCATAGTGTAATAATCTTGACATAATTTTAGAAGAATTAGAAGATTTCCTTTTATTTCTTTCCTGATTCTCTCATTAGGTTAAACCATTGGGCAATCCCTATATATATGTATCGTTCTCTTTGATATCAATAACACAAAATCAATGGGGAATCATGAAACTGATAAGAAGTTCACTTGGGTGATTAAGAATTTCAACTCTTTGGATTCCGGTAGAGTTTACTCTGATACATTCAAGGCCGGTCGTTGTAAGTGGTAAAGAACATAACTTGTTTTGCAAGTGATATATATTTGTGGTTGGTCGCTGCAAGTGACACATATGGTTTTTGCCTGCAGGCGTCTAGTCGCTAATCCCAAGAGTTTTGATATTTGTGATTATGGTGCCTGCAAGCGTCTAGTCGTTTATCCCAACAAGAGATATGATACTTGTGTTTCTATGTATCTATGTGTTTCTGATTCTGAATCTTTGCCTTCCGGATGGAGAAGACACGTTAAAGTTTCCTTGACTATGGTAAATGAATTTCCAGGAATACCCTCCCATATGCAAGGTTATTGTTTCTACTCTCTCCACTTTAACCTATATGTTGGAGTATAGTCCAAGTCATGTTTTCTCTAGTAATGTATAAATGATGATGAGAACAAATCTATTTTTTTGTTTTCTTTCAGAAACACAAGGCTGGTTTGATGAAAAGAACACAACATTAGGTTTTAGTACGTTTTGTGTTTCCGGGTTTCCTAGTAGAGATAATGGGTTTCTGATAAACGGAGAAGTCAAGATTGTTGCAGAAGTAGATGTTCTTGAAGTTATTGGTGAATTCGATGTACCAGAGGGAAGCATTGATATCAATGGATTTCAAGTTCCTCCTTCACAGGTAAGATAATGATCTAAATCACTTGAGTTCATTTGCTTGATACTTGATCTGTCCTATTTTACTTGCAGGTAGAATCTGTGAACAGTCTATTTGAAAAGTATCCAGGCTTTGCATCAAAACACTGTCCCAAGAACCCACATCTGAGAAAAGCATACTTGAATGTTATCCTAAGTCTGACTGAGACTATGAGCAAGTCCCCTGATGAACTCTCGAATGGTGATCTGGCCGAAGCGTATTCTGCACTACGATATGTGACACAAGCAGGGTTTAAGTTGGATTCGTTGGAGAAGACACTGAAAGAGACTGGTGAAACTCGGTTGCAAGATATTGAGGAAGAGTTGAAGGACTTGAAGGTGAAGTGCGCAGACATGGATGCTCTGCTTAAATTCTTACGTTGATGACTAGAAAAGTTAAAGAGTTGGGATCTGAAATTGGTGTTCTGGTCTCTTTATTTGATATATCTTAGTTTTGAAACAGAGTCCTTTTAAACTTGTTTTGTTGTTGAGGTTTTGCTTTGTTTTATATACAGTATTGCACTTTGTTTCTTGATGGAAAGGTAATCAGAAATGTCTTGGTTTCTTACTGTGACAGCTGGCTCACAAAGATGGTCAAAGTAAATGAACTACAAAGATGCTAACGTAGTTCTCAATTTTCAATTAAATGAACTCGTTCTTACACTGAAGAAACAGAGCAAGCAGCTTCAAAATGACCTACTAAATTGTCTAAGATCCCACATTGGTGTAACATTCAATGAATCTTTTGTTGTTTCCATTGGTTCTTGAATCAAAACAGCTTCAAAAGCAACTAGAAAGTGCGGATTTTGAACCTGAGGCGTCACTTTTGTCAGCAGAGGAAATGGAGGAAGCAGGAAGAAGAAGAGTTTCACCTGTTTTTGGAAGCAGATACCTGACATCATCACTTGTTCTCGGGAATGTCTTTTTCCAGCTGTCTTAAAAATACTTTGGGAAAGTTAAAATGTTCGTCTTGCAATAACTATTTTTCCTTGACAACAAAACCCAATTAATTATTTTTATTTTTATTAAAATTTTTTGTTAAAATTAAGGAGTCGAAACGATTCGCATTCCTCTCCTCTACACACCTTTCATGCCTTTAAAAGCTGTTGCTCCACTCATGTGAGTTCATTGTCAGTGTCTCTTTCATTTCCTTGACTGTTCGTCTTGTCAAGCGTGGTAACTTGCAAATAAAGTTACAAATTTGGGTGTGTTTAGGAGTCGTCATCACTTATCATCATCAAGAACAATGGGGAATCAAGCTGATAAGAAGTTCACTTGGGTGATTAAGAATTTCTCCTCTTTGGGTTCCAGTAATGTTTATTCTGATGTATTTGAGGCTGGTCGCTGCAAATGGTAAGAACACTTCTTGTTTGCAAGTGCTATATATTTGTGTTCTATCGCAGCAAATGACACATATTCATTGCTTTCTGTGGTTTTTGCTTGTAGGGGTCTACTCGCCTATCCCAAGGGATATAATAATATCTATGATTACTTCTCTCTGTATATATATGTTCCTAATTCTAAGTCTTTGCCTTCCGGATGGAGAAGACACGCTAAATTTTCTTTTACTATGGTAACTCAAATTCCGGGAGAACTCTCCCTACAGCGAGGTGATCTTTTCTACTCTCAGCCACTTTTTGATAAGGCGGACAACCGAAAAGAACACAACCTCTATGTTGGAGTATATAGCTCTTGTCATGCTTTCTATGGAAATGTGAATATGTGATTGATGATAATATCATATTTGTTTTGTGGTTTTGTTTTCAGAAGCAGAATATTGGTTTGATCAAAAGAACACAACCAGGGGTTTTCAATCTATGTTTCGCCTTTCGGAGATTCAAAGCAGTCATAAAGGGTTTCTTGTAAACGGAGAAGTCAAGATTGTTGCAGAAGTAGATGTGCTTGAAGTTATTGGTATAGTCGATGTACCCGAGAAACCAGAAAGCTTTGATATCAATGGGTTTCAAGTCCCTGCTTCACAAGTAAGAAAAATACTTCTAAATTCGTAGAAAAGAAAAAAATGAAACGAATTGTAAGAGTTTCTCACTAGATTTCATTTTGTTGTTATGTACATATAGATGCAGGCTGCATGTACTTTTTGTTTGTTTATTTTCAGGTCTCCAAAAACCGCTATTCGATATGGTTTTTATTTGAATTGTCCGTTTTGTTTACTTGCAGGTAGATTCTGTGAACAGTCTGTTTAAAAAGTACCCAGGCTTTGCATCAAAAGTCTGTCCCAAGAACCCACATTTGAAGAAAACATACTTGAATGTTGTACTAAGTCTGAATGAGATTCTGTGCAAGTCCCCTGATAAACTCTCTAATGGTGATCTTGCTGATGCATATTCTGCACTACGATATGTGACAAAAGCAGGTTTTAAGTTGGATTGGTTGGAGATGAAACTGAAAGAGACTGGTAAGACTAGGCTGCAAGAAATTGAGGAAGATTTAAAGGACTTGAAGGTGAAGTGTGCAGACATGAATGCTCTGCTTGAGTTCTTACGATGATGTTGTTTGATGAGTATGGGAGAGTTTGGTTCTTATTTGTGTTTGGTTTGGTTTGGTTGTTTGTTTTCGTCTTAGTTTTAAAACATAGCCCTTTATAACTTGAGGAAGATCAAGAGAACTAGTTTTTTGTTTGTTGAGGTTTTGCTATGTTTTATGTATTGCAATTTGTTTCTTGATGGTCAAGTAATCAGAAATGTAGCATTTTTTTACCTTCAAACTTGGATCCAATAAAACTTTGAGTCTCATCATTTTTTTTAGCTTCCCAAATAGAGAAATATTTGTTTATATTTATCTCATAAAGGCTTAGATTATTATAAGTAAAGTAAACCACAAAAAAATGGACCAAATACTTTGTATATTTGTTTCCTTTGATCCAAAGCTAATCCCATGTGACATCATATTCCAATGAAATTAATGTGAATCCTCACACAACTTGATGGATCATAATCTCTCTTTTTCTTATAACTTTAATCCTTCCATGTCACAAAAATTTGTCCTTTCCTCCCAAAGCACTCTTTCTTCCGACATTAATTAACCAATGGATCACTCTATTCTCCTAAAGAAAAGAACCCAATCTTCTATCTCCACTACAATTTTCCCTACATATAAATACACACACTTATGCATTTGCATTGATCAACTATATCCCTCTTAAGATACATAGAAATAGGGTTTGGATCGATCGAGAGATGCCTGATTGGGGACCGGTTTTTGTCGCGGTGACGCTTTTCGTGTTGCTAACTCCGGGACTGCTGATTCAAGTTCCCGGGAGAGGTCGAGTGGTTGAGTTTGGAACGTTTCAGACAAGTGGTCTTTCGGTTATTGTTCATACTCTCATTTACTTCACTCTTGTTTGTATTCTCTTGCTTGCTCTCCAAATTCACATGTACATCGGCTAATAGTATAAAACAATATTAAATCTTTCTTCTTCTTTTTTGTATTAATGTATTTAGATTTTTATAGTCACTCTTTATTTCATTTGAATTGTGTGTAATTCACTGTTTTGTTTGGTTTAAGAAACAAAGAGGTTTCATAAATATTACTCCGTGTTATAGATTTTTACAGAAATTTCTGTGTCTAACGAAATGTATAAAACTAGACATTCATATAAATAAAAATTGGTTCGATTCGGTTTGATACAATACGATCGTTATGTATGCAAGCGAGTTTATACACTAGTTCAAGACTAAAACTATTGTTTGACAGTACAAGCCGTAAATTTCGTTCTCTTGATCAGTAAACTTTTGCTGGTATTGAATTAGTTGCAAACTTGCAATTATTAACACTAAGAAGTTCACATGAAATTTGAAAATCTTAATACATCGTAAGACTAAAAATATGTAAAATTTGATTGCTTTGAGGGTCCTATTAAAAAACTTAACTAAGAAGTAACTTACAAATTAGAAAGCTGAGCTTTCTTAATTTGTGTGGGAGTGTGGAGTCAGTCGGTCCACCACCGTTAAAAGGGTACAACATTAATATTAAATAATTATATTGTTTATCAATGATCGTAAAAAGTTGTAAGAACACTAAACTTTCCCTAAATCTGTCTTTTATATTATTAAAAAAATATAATCAAACTACGTTACTAGCATTACTTTCTTTGTGTACAATACTAGGATTTAACCCGCGGTATACCGCGGGGCAAAATTGTATTTTATATAATAATTTATAATTTATTGTATTTTTAAATTGATATTATTAAAAAAACTCATTTAATTATTTTATATTATAATTAATATAGTTGAAATATGTGTAATTAATCTTCATTTAATTATGAAGATTTGTAGATGTACAAATGATATAGTATTAATATTTGCAAGTATTTATAATCATGAACTATTATAATAATTTGATATTATTTTATATCAAAACAATTTACCCGCGGTATATTGCGGGTCGATTTTTTAAACTAAAAATTTTAAATTTAAGTTATTTTTTTTTGTTAATATTGTTTGGTTTGTTTAATATTTAAGATTAGATAATTATATTTTTATTTTTAATTCTAGGTTTCACCCGTGATATACGTTCACGTATTAATATCGACTCAAACCCGTCCCACCATATAACTCTGTTTTGTATTCAGAATCATTTTGATCTTTTTATAGTATGACTCTGAACCATTGTGCAAACGTTTAAGCAATATGAGACATTGTACACATACTTTTTTTTCATCGATTGAGTAATATATGTCCGTTTTTAAAATTTTGAATCACATTATATGCAGAAAAATCTTTTATTTTATTAATTATTTGTATTTTATATAAATTCAAAATAAATTACTATAAGATCATATAAAAGTGAAAGAAGAATTATATATTAATGTTTAAATTTGGTAGAGATGTTTTAGGAAAATTTAGAAATAAAATCGATTTGTTACCATATTTGGAAGCCACAGTTTCTAAAAGATTTTTTTGAAAAGATTTTGTAATATTAATTAATATATAAACATTTATGACAATGGCATTCTATTGTAAATACTTTTCAACTTCAGGATTTATTTGCTAAATGTACTTCAAAAATGTATATATAGATAAAAATATACGATTTGATTTAAGTTCAATTCATTCAATATTTGTTTTCATTAGAGACGTTGACCAAAAAAAAAGGGATTAATATAAACTGAAACTAAACAAAATCATTTGTAATTATAATACAGTGAATAGTGTTGTGTGATGAACTTTCGGCTTGGTTCGGTTTGGTTTGTAATTTGAACTTTTTTTTTTGCTAAAAAAAAAAAAACCTAAACTATAGAAAACAAATAATTTAATCAATATCATATCTGTAATATCTGCTTTTTAATATATACAATTTAAATATAATAACTTTTGTTTTATTTAGTTCGATTCAACTATACAAAAAATGTTTTAATTTAATTGTGACTTATAATTCTTGATTTTCAAAATAATAAAATTAATCGATTCATAAACAAATTTTGGTTTAATTACCCATTAATTCTATTTTAATCATTGCATTTTGAAATTTAATTTTGGTTTATTTTCAATTTTCCAGAGTCTCCAGACCACTTGAGTCTTGACTAGCAGACAAAATATATTTCTCCTGCCCTCCTATGTTCTTTAATAATCACGAGATTAGTTTAATTTTTCCTTTAAACACCAAATATTAAAAAAAAAAAAAAAAAAAAACAGAGTCCCATACCAAAAACTTTCCTCTTTTTTTCTAGTTTCTTCCATCTCCACCGCTTTCTAAAGTTGTAACCTTTTTTCTACTTCAATGGCGGATTGGGCTCCAGTTCTCGTCGGTGTGGTCCTGTTCGTGATTCTCTCACCGGGACTTCTCTTCTCTTTACCTGGTAACAACCGCACTGTCGATTTCGGTGGTCTCAAAACCAACGGCAAAGCCATCGCTGTTCACACTCTCATCTTCTTCGCCATTTACACCATTTTGATCCTCGCTCTTAATCTCCACATCTACACTGGCTGAATCTGATCACATCTGGGTCTCTTCTCTATCTTTTCGTTGTTGTTTTTCCCCCAAAAAGTTAAAGTTTTTACTTACCTTTTGTTCTATAGTTTTTGTTCTCATGTTGTAACAAACAGATTTGGTCTAAAGGGTTGTATTGTATTGTGATGTATTGTTACTCAAATGAATCATTTGTTTCTTTTAGTTGATGTGTTTATTTGCTTGAATTTAGTTAAAGATCAGAACTTTATTAGCAATAGCGAACAATGAAGCTAAAGAAAGAGGAGAAATTAGAAAGATTTAGAGAGATTTTGTACATACATTGGAGTTTGCAATAAAAATGCCTTCTTTTGTTGGTTACATTACATTACATGATAGAAGAGTAGAGATTAGAAATGGATGTGAATTTGTATAGCAATCACCAAGATTGTGAGTATACAGAAATATATAAATGCGTGAACTAAAATCGCTATACCGCTTGTAGTCATGTTTCCGAATTCAACCACTCTTGTTCTTGCGGGAAGCTGGAATAGTAGTCCTGGTGAGAGTAGGATGAAGAGAGACACCGCTACAATCACCGGTCCCCAATCCGTGCTCATATATAACGGTTTTTGATCTCTTGTCTTCTTAGTGTTGTGTATTGAATATGGTTGTGTGAAGTGTGTGTTTAAAGAGTGTTTGTTTGTTCTTTTGCAGATGAAGATGGAGACAAGTGGAGAGTTATGTAGAAGAAGGTGAGTGATGAGAGTCTTTTTGGCTTTTCTTGGTGGCTAAGGAGAAGGAATAAGAGGTTAAGATACTAAGCATAGTGATAGATTACGAGGAAAGGTATTGTTTTTCTTTATTGGCTTTGCTTTTGTGAACTTATCGTCTTCTTTCACTTTTATGATTGTTCAATCAGTTGTTTCTATGCTCTTTGGTGTTGTTTGCTTTTTGTTAAAGAAATTTGATATAAAGTAGATTACTGCATAAAGATGATATAACAAGAAATGTGCCCACTTAATTGTTTTCTTAGTAGTTTGGTTTACCTTTTTGTTTGTTTCTCTAGAGTCTTGAGTAACAGTGGACCCGGTGAAAGTTTGGTTTCGGTTTTCTGTTAACCGATTGAATCCCGTCGAATAATCATTGAGTTCAGTACCTCTGTTTCTTGTGATTGATCTATGATTTATACCTATGGATCTTTTCAAAATGTTCTCTTATTGTTAAGCTTGCAATAATGGAGTTGAATTCGAGCTCAAGAGTGAAGAGTCAAAGAGGGTCAAATCTCGATTTACCGGGTCAGCGATTAGTTTGGAGCAGAGATGTGACGGGTACGAGTGGTTAACACATGTGGCCAAATCACTTATAGGTGCTACTTAAATTCGGGTACAGTACTTTTCATACATGAGCTTCTTTTACATTGCCTTAAACTAGAGTACATAACCCCTTTGACTACACAGTAATAAATTCTGATTTTTTGTATATTATATATCGATTTGATAGGAGAGAGCTTTGCTTGGAACATCAACGGAGGTTTGTTGCAGTGAGTATTATCTTCACAGCTCCAGAACAAGATCTGCAAAAGGCAAGCAAATGATATGAAAACTCTATAAAGAGAGAAATGACAAAAACAGATAGTGTTCTTCGTGTTCAATGGTCTGTATATATAGCATCTTGACTTACACTCGGTGTCGGTCTTAATCCAGTTTTCGCGATTCCTGTTCGCTTCGGAGATGGAACTTGCACCGAGAAACCCTCCAGTAAGATTAGGGACCTTGAGATCAACTTTTCTTCTTTCATCTATCTCGTTATCGTCTCTTGCAGTTGCAGGTGCATAGAGAACAGGGTGGACTTTACGTCGGCAGGTTTGAACACTCTATAGCCAAAACAGAAACCATATTAACTTTCAGAATTCTTCAGACCAGTCTCTTTGGGTAAGATTTGAAAATACTTAAAGCTAAAAAAGACTAAACCTTTTTAAGATCTTTCTTCTCTTTGGGCATAGAATCATCTTCATCATCATTTCTTGTCTTTGAAGAAGCTCCATGAAGCTTTTTAAATACCCTTTTAATCGCATCTCTTGTGCCATGTTTCTCTATGTTAGGCTCTCCTTGTACTGTTTGTCTCCTCTTGAAGAGACTAGTAAGTAAACTCTTTTTCTTATTTACTCTTCCATTGCTTGTCTTCGTAAGCTCAATGGATGATCGAAAGAGATCATAATCTTGTAGAGGACATGCATGGGAATTTCTATCTTCTTTTGCATTCGATCTTTCTACCCGCTTACTGCTAGTATCCTCAGGATGTTCCTTAAGAAACTTGTCTAGTTTCTCAGTAATGAGCTTGGCCATTTCCTTTCTTTCTCCGGTTACATCTTCTTCTGAAACCATAGCTGAGAACTTTGGTGTCTCAGGGTCTGTACCAAGCGTCCCGATCGCCAGAAATCCGCAAAAACCGTCATCATCAAACCGAAGATCTTGTTCAACTTTGGGTGGATTCGGATCATGAGTGTGTCCGTAGAAGGAAAAGGAGTTTGTGCGGATGTCTTGGACTTCAAAAACCTGAGCTCTTAGACAACAGAAATCACCTGAAAGAGATAGATTGGTTTTTAGTTTATTGAAGCACTGATTAGAGAGACTATGCTCATTAGAATCAAACCAAGACTAATCACATATATGCATAACAGTGTATGAAAATGAAGATATTGAAGGGGTTTTATAAAAGATTGTGAAACCTTTGAACTCCTTTGATGGGTCTAAGCCATTCGACTTAATAGTTCGCATCCAATGTAGTAGCTGCAAGAGCCATAGATGGAAAGAGAGTTCGTTAACATGAATGATTTGTTAATGAGAGATTAAGTACAATTCATCGTCAAAACGAAAAGACTATTTTGATTAGACTTGGAAATTAAATCGGAATGTATAATACTCACCTTCATGTTGTCTTCGCTCAGCTTTTATTTTTCTTTTCAATTCTCTTTGTGGTTTATAACTATATAAATAGTTGTAAATTAAATATAAGTAGCTAGGTCAAGCTTGAGCTAGAAGGATCTATTCTTATGATTGTGTATAGAATAGTACATGAGTCTTGTTGGACTTGTCCGTCTTCTGTCGTAATGTGTTGAGAATCTATATAGAGATTTTCATTTATCGAAGTTTATTTACGTGTGGTGTCTGAAATAGTAATAAGTACGTAAGATGGGACGTTACAAAATTCAGGAAAGGTTGTTCTCGAGCTAAAAGGTGTGTGTGTGTGTGTGTATACGGAAGTCTCTGGCCGAGCTAGAGATAAGAGACTAGAGAGGGGTCTCCCACTTCTTCAACTTTTTTAATTTGTTGGGACATGTTTTGTTAACCTTCTTCCACAACCCGACATGTGTATAGTCGTACGCCATGACATGACATTATACGACATGACACAACATAATACAATCGTATTATTGGAGTTATCATTCATGTCGTATATATACTGTTCCTCTTTGCATGCTTTTTAATTTCCCCCAAAAGGAAAGTGATACATCTTCAAAAGGAAATGTTGTTTTCAATCTCTTAAAATAAAAAGGCGTGCAAGCAAATTGTGGAAGCCTCTAGTTCACAGAGAGAATCCCACTATTTTGTCCTCCTCTGCCACGTCACCGACATTAGCTAGAAAGTTTAGAATTATAAGGCCATCTCCAACGGCAAGAGATGAAGAGTGAGTGTCTTCAAAAGAAAATATTGATATTTTAATTGTAAAAATATATCTTAATTATTTTTAATACAATGTATCAGTAATAAGATGACAACTGGCCGCTTTTTGTCAGAATCGTTTCTCAACAGAGAAACGTCTCTCCTTTTTTCTCCTTCTCTCTCCAACTTTATTTCTTTTTATTATTATTTAAATCTTAAGAGAACCTCCTCTCTCCCTGCGTTGGAGATGCTCTAAGGAAAAATGATAACCCTAAAGAGTGTAAATTATATAAACCATTGATAAACTGGACCGACATGAACTAACTTGAGTATTATTACTTTGCCAACAAAAGGGTAGAGTAATTGAAGTCTTGAATCCGAGGGCAGGCTACGAGAACAAGACTGAAATATCATAAAAATGTTATATGGTCTCTTGTCCAAGAGATTGTATATATGAGCTCCCATCCGAAACTTTGTTTAAAAAGAAATGAATCGATATCATGTTGTGTATTTACGGATTTTTAATAATTTAGGATACAGTTATAAGATATAATTACAAGTGTCATCTCGGATATCGATCTAGGCATCCCTAAAGGAAAATAAAAGAGATAAACCTTGGCACTCAGTTTTTTAATGTTATAAGGTATCTTTATTTTTTAACAAAGCAACAAGAAGTATCATTATAAAACATTGTACCTCATGTGACCCAAAGTAAACAAAAGAAGAAAGAGCTATTTCATGTGTACGCTATTAAGATCTTTCTTAATTCTTAGATATCTTTATGATTGATACACGTGAGGACTGTTTTGTATCGTACACTAAATTATCGTCGCACTGTTTCACATGCAAAAACTGACAAATGAAATATAAAACGTGCCTCAAATTTTCTTTCTTGGTCCCATTTTTTTTTTTTATCGTGTATTTCTTGTAGGTTTGCAAATTTTAGGTGCCACCAAAACTTGTGATCGCTGAATGTGCTACATTGTTTTCAATCTCTTCGATTAATCGTAAATGAATTGATGTCCACAAATCGGAAATATAGCATTGACACAAACATGTGTAGATGACATCGAAAATATATTGGTTATAACTTAGAACATTATGTATGCTCATATATCAAACCACAAATTGATATTCAAATATGAAATAAGTTTCAAATATTGTTGGAATATTGAGAGAAAGAAGAAAAACAGTGCAAGAGACATTTGTCTCTTCTCTTGTAAAGAAGAAAGAACAAAAATAACTCTTTATTGAATCTGAAACTTGTTTTATTTACTCGACAGTTTTACATAAGACAACATACACACTTATATAGATGTGTACATAACTAACTACTCTACGTAACCGTTGGTAAGAGTTGTAACTTTTCCGACAAGTTACGTGTCTTACTCACACCCTTTCGTAGTAAGTAACATGTAGCACATGACATCCGTTGACTTTACATACAAACTATAACATATATGATATTACAAGATTTAATCATGGACACAAATTCTAACAAATATGACACTACATATTTATAAAAGGATCAACGTATGCAGCATACAAGTAACTAGCTAAATCTTCCTTTAATTTTCTACCTATATATATGCTATTGAATCTATCTACGCCGTCTCTGTGGAACTCTTATGGATCTAGAGTCATCAGAGTTCGACTTAATTAGTGTTTATTTATTTATATAGTAATTAACCGTGGGATCGCGAGCTTTGGTCTAAACTAATTTCCGGAGACTACAATTTATGCGACATTTCTGAATTTTCATTCTTTATTAGACTGGCTATAAATAACATTTGATCTCCTGTCGGTATCTTATTTGAGTAGAAAATGACGCTTCACGCTTATGGTGCTTATGAATTTGTGAAATTTGCTCCGATGCCATTTTAGCTTCTCTCAAGATTGAGATTGAGAAACAGAAACAGAAAGGTAAAATATCTTCAGTCAACTCGAATGGACTGTACAAGAGCAAAGACTTTGAAGGAATTCAACAATTTCATCCAAAGTAATGATATAAAAACTACAGTATTTTATATGAATAGCTAAATCAAGAGCCCAACAAACAAAATAGTATAAAAATAGCTAAATCACGAGCCCAGCCCAATACTAAACACGAGCCCAACAAACAAAATAGTATAAAAATTAAAAAGTAAAAACGACCGTTACAAAATTTAGTTGAATAAAATAGCAAAAGGATAAATAATCTAAACACTAACAAAGAAAAGAACAAAATGTTATAAATCATAACATAAAATAAATATTATTATTATACTATATGTTTATAATCACTTAAATAATTATCCAATTCTAACACAAAAAAACACATTTATGGTTATCAATCCATTCTCAACAGAAATATTTATCGTTTCGATGTAGTAAGATTAACGTAACAGATTAAAATTACACGTGGCAGTATCTTATTCGACCTACTCAAACCACATTGCGTCTAATCTTAAGCTTTTCCATAACTAACCTCCAAAATCCGTCAAACAACATTTTCAGATTTCTCTTCCGCCATAGCCATTTTCTCTAGATCCTCCGGAAAATTCGAACCAAAATTTGGCGAAATCAGCCGGAGAAAACTCACACATTGAATTAGCTTAAAAATGGGGACGGAGATCCCTAGATCGGCGGAGATATCGGAAGCATTGTTACCGTCGGAATCTGAGAAAACCGCGACGGCGGCGGAGGAGCATGTTCCTGAGTGGAAAGAGCAGATAACGATTCGAGGATTGACTGTGAGTGCGTTGCTCGGGACTTTGTTCTGTATCATTACTCATAAACTCAATCTGACGGTTGGAATCATTCCGTCGTTGAACGTCGCTGCGGGATTACTCGGATTCTTCTTCGTTAAGTCGTGGACTGGTTTCTTATCGAAGCTAGGGTTTACGGTGAAGCCATTCACTAAGCAAGAGAACACCGTTATTCAGACTTGTGTTGTTGCTTGCTATGGCCTTGCCTTTAGCGGTATTAAGCTTTCTTACTCAAGATCTGTGTTCGAATCAGATTCTTAGTTTTCAAATTCTGGAACAGTAGCTATTTTGGCGATTTTACTATAGTAACTGTGATTTGATTAAGAATCTGATTGTTTGACTTAAATCTGTAGCTATTTCTGAGAATTAGTATAAGGATTCTTCTTGCGTTTGCTTCTTATCGGATATAGATTTATAATTTCAGGAGGATTTGGTTCATATTTGATTGCTATGGATGAGAAGACATATAAGCTCATTGGTGCTGATTATCCGGGAAACCATGCTGAAGATGTTATAAATCCAGGATTGTGGTGGATGATTGGGTTTTTATTTGTAGTCAGCTTCTTGGGGCTCTTTAGTCTCGTTCCGTTACGCAAGGTAGCATCTCAATAGCATAGATAAATGTATAGTTTCCTTTCACTGTTGTTGATTCTTCTCCGTACTCATAAGTTTTATCTCAGGTGATGGTTTTGGACTACAAACTTACTTATCCCAGTGGAACCGCCACAGCAATGTTGATTAATAGCTTCCACACCAACACTGGAGCTGAGCTTGCAGGGTAATTTTTGTCAAGATCAATGTTGCTTTCTGCAAACCATATCTTTAGTTTGTTGAACTTGTGTCTGCAATTTTGTTCACTACAGGAACCAGGTCAAATGTCTTGGAAAATACCTGAGCCTTAGCTTAATTTGGAGTTGTTTCAAGTGGTTCTTCAGTGGTATTGGAGATGCATGTGGATTTGATAACTTCCCCACCCTTGGTTTGACGCTATTCAAGAACACGTAAGTTTGTACTATCTCTGAAGTTCTGAACCAGTTTGTTAATGTCCAAGGTTATTATTTTAGTTATGATCTGTGAGAAGTGGAATGGGGTTATAGCTGGAATGTCTTTTGCTACTTTTTAACTAGTCCTGATTTTCTGCTACACAGGTTTTACTTTGACTTCAGTCCTACTTATATTGGATGCGGTCTTATATGCCCCCATATAGTGAACTGCTCAGTTCTTCTCGGTGCGATCATCTCTTGGGGGATTCTGTGGCCATTTGTATCACAGCATGCTGGGGATTGGTATCCTGCTGACCTTGGGTCCAACGATTTCAAAGGTCTCTACGGGTATAAGGTACTGTATAAGCAGCTCAATTAGAAACCATTTCATAACACTACATATTTATGTCAAAAGGGAGGGGAAAAAATGATTCCAAGTACTGACGCTTTTATGTTATTCCTGACTTTTTAAGGTCTTTATCGCCATTGCCATTATCCTTGGTGACGGTCTTTACAATCTTGTCAAGATCATCGCTGTCACTGTGAAGGAAATATGCAGCAGTAGGTCTAGACGACTCAATCTACCCATTGTTACCGACGTTGTAGGTGGGAGAATATTAGATCTGACTCATCTCTTACATGCTTTTGATTTAACCAATTACTTGGATCCACTCTTGGGCACTTTCCAAAGACTGTTAACTGTATGTTTTCCAATGCCGTACAGATGACAGTGAAGCCTCTGAGATACTGCTGGTCAAGAAGAAAAGAGATGTAGTATTTCTGAAGGACCGTATACCCCTTGAATTTGCGGTTGCTGGTTATGTGGGTCTTGCAGCAATCTCAACTGCCACAATCCCAATAATATTTCCACCATTGAAATGGTACTTTGTCCTGTGTTCTTATTTCATTGCACCTGCTCTTGCCTTCTGCAACTCTTATGGAACGGGGCTCACAGACTGGAGCTTAGCATCAACCTATGGAAAGATCGGTCTTTTCATAATCGCTTCAGTAGTAGGAAGTGATGGTGGTGTCATTGCGGGTCTAGCTGCCTGTGGTGTTATGATGTCAATTGTCTCCACCGCAGCTGATCTCATGCAAGACTTCAAAACAGGTTACCTCACTTTATCATCTGCAAAGTCCATGTTTGTAAGCCAGCTCGTAGGAACCGCAATGGGCTGTGTAATCGCTCCGCTCACATTCTGGCTGTTCTGGACTGCCTTTGACATTGGAGATCCCAATGGACCGTACAAAGCACCTTATGCAGTGATTTTCCGTGAAATGGCGATTCTCGGTATTGAGGGATTTGCTGAGCTGCCAAAGCACTGTTTGGCTCTTTGTTACGGGTTTTTCATAGCAGCTTTGATTGTGAATCTCTTAAGAGATATTACACCACCTAATATCTCTCAGTTCATCCCGATCCCAATGGCAATGGCTGTCCCATTCTACATTGGAGCTTACTTCGCCATTGACATGTTTGTTGGGACTGTGATATTGTTCATATGGGAGCGGATCAACAGGAAAGATGCAGACGACTTTGCGGGTGCAGTAGCATCAGGACTGATCTGTGGTGATGGGATCTGGACAATACCATCCGCAATCCTTTCGATCTTAAGGATCAACCCTCCCATTTGTATGTACTTTGGACCGTCCTCAGCAAGATAAAGATGCCACTGTGGTCATAATCGCCACCGCAACTGCGAGTCATCCGAGAGTCCCGTGGCCGTCAGAATCGAAACAATTGTCTTCAATCTTTATATGTTGTGTAGATATGTTTAGTATCTCAACTCGCAAGAACAAAATGTTGTTGCAAATCTCTTTAAATGTTTTAGTCAATGTTGTTGTATGTCCCTGGGATGTTGTCTCTTTGAATGCTTTTATTCACAAGCTTAAAGAGAGTTTTAGGACCATTTGCCTTTGTTCAATCATCATAATTAGTACTAAGAGATATAGTAATGAACAGATACGATTCCAGTTAAATTTAAAATATACATTTCATTGATGATAAACAATGAATCAAAACCAAACCATCCAGTCCTCCAGATTGATAAACATACTAAATTCCATTCTATATATATAAATAAGTAAAAAAAAAAAAACTACGTTAAACCTGTAAGTATTTCGTTATGGAACTTAAATGATCATACAACGACAATAATACCGCAAACCATTAGACAATATGTCATATGATCTGTTTAGTCATAGTTATTACAACATTTATGTACACAATTGTTTTCTCTTTGGATGTGAGAATACTCTTTCGAACAATTTTAGACAGAAGTTATAATTTGTAATATTAACATATATATGATACGAGTTTCGTGGTGATATCAAAAATCATTAATTGATAGTTTGACTGTTGGGTACAAACCAACGTTCCACATCGGAAGTTTAGAAAATAAGTTTCTAATATATAAGTAAAGTCCAACTCCAATTAGTATGAGACCTTTTGGGAAGGAGCCCAATAACAAATCCGTGCAGGCTTGAGCATGTAGGCCCAAAGCGGACAATATCATACTAATAAGGAAGTTGGATTGGGCTTGGAAAGCCCAATAAATGGTATCAGAGCCTATTTTGAAAAATGTGGACCTAGGGGTGTGTGCTAAAGTTCGGTGTGGGAGAAGCCCTCATGTGACATGATAAGAAGGTGCCTTAAGAACTTTCACGAATAAGAAGGTGCCGAGTTAGGGTGCTAAGGTTTCGCTGAAGAGGAGGCCCAATGTTCGTGGTCCGTGGTTTGAAGGGGAGATTGTTGGGTACAAACCAACGTCCCACATCGGAAGTTTAGAAAATAAGTTTCTAATATATAAGTAAAGTCCAACTCCAATTAGTATGAGCGACCTTGGGAAATTAACCTATTATCTTGGTATTGAAGTACTGCAACTTGAGAATGGAATTGTGTTGAAGCAAGAAAGGTATGCATCCAAGATTCTAGAAGAAACCATAATGAATGACTGCAATGCGGTGAAGGTACCAATGGACTCGGGTTTAAAGTTATCTAAGGCACCACAAGAGAAGAATATCGATGAGAAGGAGTATAGAAGAATCATAGGGTGTCTACGTTATTTGCTTCACACAAGACCCGATCTATCTTATTGTGTTGGTGTGTTAAGTAGGTACATGCAACAACCTAAGGAGTCTCACGGAGCTGCACTCAAACAAATACTTAGGTACCTGCGAGGAACTCTTGCTCTTGGTTTGTTTTTTACTCGTGGAGAGAAGACAAAGCTTGTGGGCTATAGCGATAGCAGCCACAATATAGATGAAGATGACGGGAGGAGCACAACCGGACATGTGTTCTACTTTGAGAACTGTCCAATTACTTGGTGTACGCAGAAACAAGACACGGTGGCGTTATCATCGTGCGAGGCAGAATTCATGGCCGCAACGGAAGCTTCTAAACAGGCTCTTTGGCTTCAAGAATTGCTCGGAGAAGTCACTGGAGGCTCATGTGAGAAGGTGACGCTTCTTATTGACAACAAATCAGCCATTGCACTTGCAAAGAACCCGGTGTTCCACGGAAGAAGTAAACACATCAACAAGAGATATCACTTTATAAGAGAATGTGTCGAGAATGAACAAATTGAGGTTGAGCATGTTGCCGGAGAGGAGCAGCGAGCTGACATACTAACCAAAGCGCTTGGTAGGATTAGATTCAAGGAGATGAGAGATCTCATTGGCGTTCAAAATGTATCGGAAGAGGTTTTCAAGTTTAGGAGGGACAATGTTGAGATAAACTTGAATGTAACGTGAGTCATAAGTTACTAAAATATAGGAGGGATAAAGTTTGTTATGCTAGGAGTTATCTAGAATAACAATAGGAGTTATCTAAAGGTACAAGACCTAATACGATTAGGAGTTAGGCTTTTGAGTTTGCTATATATATGAGCTACCAATGTTGTGGTAAGCCATAAGAGTTTAGAGAGATTAAGAGAGTTTGTGAGTTCTTTAGTTTTGAGTTATTTTCTAAAGAAATAAAGAGAAGTCTTTTTAATCTTGTGTTCTAAACCTAGTTCTTAATTCAATAATTGGTATCAGAGCCTAGGTTGAAAAATGTGGACCTAGGGGTGTGTGCTAAAGTTCGGTGTGGGAGAAGCCCTCATGTGACATGATAAGAAGGTGCCTTAAGAACTTTCACGAATAAGAAGGTGCCGAGTTAGGCTGCTAAGGTTTCGCTGAAGAGGAGGCCCAATGTTCGTGGTCCGTGGTTTGAAGGGGAGATTGTTGGGTACAAACCAACGTCCCACATCGGAAGTTTAGAAAATAAATTTCTAATATATAAGTAAAGTCCAACTCCAATTAGTATGAGGCCTTTTGGGAAGGAGCCCAATAACAAATCCGTGCAGGCTTGAGCATGTAGGCCCAAAGCGGACAATATCATACTAATAAGGAAGTTGGATTGGGCTTGGAAAGCCCAATATTGACAACACCAAAACCATGTAAAAAAGTAATTAGAATTACCAACTTTAAAAAGACTACAACTTATCATGCGAGTAAATGTTTTAAATTTAATAATATATGGTGCAGGCCACTCTCGTAGGATAAGATAAGTCAAATTATGTGATCTCCAGATGTATGGTAGAGTTGATATATGTGAAATTCTGGTTTATATAGTTGTTGGATTGAAATAAGAAAAAGTGAAGAACAATTTCATAAAACAAGTTAAATAAGGTTTGATCAACAAGTTTAATACATTGGAAAGTTGGCATAGTGGAATTAATATTAAAAACTGTAAATTTGTAATGATGACACTCCAATCTCAATTTAGCATAATTGGGGCACGATTGGTGGAGATAATCGTGGCACAAACTCCTGAGTATTAAAATCACTGAGAGAGAAAAAAAAAAAAAAAAAAAAACAGTGTTGAATTAAATTAATGGTGAAGGTAAAGATAAATGAAGGATAGGGACAGAATGAATAAAATCGATACAAATTAGTACCCCTTTTTCTTTATTTATGTACTTTTTAGGATTTTCGAATGTATTAAAAATTAATTATAAATGTATTGTTTATAGTTTACAATTTTCTACAATTCTAAACCAATAGTATTCAATTTTTATAAAAAAGTTTATAATTCATCAATAATAACTAATAAATATTGCATTAAAAACTTAAAATATCTTTTTTTTTAAACCAATTTTTTTCTCAGAAAATACTCCCTTTGTTTCAAAATATAGGATGTTTTAAAGATTTTATGTTTCAAAATATAAGATGTTTTATAAGTTTCAACGCAAATTTTAAATGTATTTGATATTTTGTAACTATTTATATTCTGCAATCTTTACAAAGTAATTAGTTGATTTTAAAAAATCAAATATTAAATGATAGTTTTAAAGAAAAAAAAATTTCTTAAACCATGTGTTTTTATCTAATACATCATATATTTTGAAACAGAGGAAATATAATAACAATGAACAAATGGCATATCTACTATCTTGTTTAAGACTAACCAATAACATTGCATTAATTTCGTACTGAAAATTAATGACAGTATAAAATGTATGTGAATAATTAAAGAATATAATTGTTGGTTAAACAAAAGAAATTAATTAATTGACTCATTTTGTTAGATCTACATTCATCTCAAATGTATAATATTTGATTGTAAAAGCATAGTAAAAAAAAATCAAAATTTGCCACAAGAAAAACATAAACAAAAATAACTGAAAATTAAAATAAAAAGGTTTTGTGATTGCTTTATAAGGCCCGTGTGTGTCTCCTGCTTTGGGAGCATAATTCAATCCAAAATTTTCACATGCACCAACTCTCAAATTCCATTTTCTTACTTCACTCCACAAAGAATGAACTAATACCGACGGGACTATTCCTTACGTTGTAAACTTATTATAAAATATAAGATAAAAAATAAAACTTATAAATTTATTGGTTCAAAAAGTAATATCTCATACATATTGTTAGTAAAATGGCGAATAATCAACGAAAAACTACATATATGCCAAACGAACTCGAAAATAATGGAACAGAGGACTTGTAAGAAATTTGTAGTAAATTTTACGGTTATGGCATGGAGAGTATTTTGTAACTTCGCTTAATGTGTGTTTTTGATGAAAACATCATTTCTATATAATAAAACACATATAATATTGTGGTTTTGAAATTAAAGTAACATGAAAGGACATTATAGGATATAGAATTGATTAGTGACAAAGTAATTAACACGAGATTATAAAATATCATTTGATTTTTAATGGCTTAAAAATGATGCGGCCGTTGACAGTGATTAAATATAAATTGTAATAAAATACGATGACACGGTTTAAAAAGTACTTCCTTCGTTTTTTTTATGCTTAAGGTTTTCTCAAACCTATTAAAAAATTATTTAATTTTGTATTTTTTAACTCTTTTTTTTAACAAAAACATTATTTATTCTTTACTTAAACACGATTCAATCAAAAGTAAAACGATCTACAAAATATAAATCATCAAAATCACTTAAAAATTAATTAATTTTGTATTGAAAGTTTTAAATCATCTAATCTAAAACAAAAAAATTCCTCTTAAAACATCAAAAAAAATTGGAAAAGAGTATTAAATTTCTAGTTTTAGAAGAAAACTAACTTATTTAGCGACATCTCTACTAAAGAAGTTAGCAGCTCAAGCTACGGTTTATCATATTTAGAAGCAAAAAGGAACAATGTCTTTCAAAACCACATGTCTCTACCTCACCACTTTCAAGTTTATTGATCGTGAGATCCGTAACACAATCTCTTCACGAAGAGAAAAAAGATTATTTTGGAAACTTAATGCAACTTTGATGTCTTCAATTTTGTTACCTAGTTTTTTTTTCTTTTTTTCTTGCAAGGTCGCGAAAGCCGTATGTCTTACCTATTGTAACTCTTAAACTTTTCATTTCTTAATGGTATTTACATTCATTAAAAAGAAATCTTGTTTTGGAGAGTAATTGAACCGTAGATCTTGAGACACAAACACTAGGCAGGAAATCAATTGGTAACATCTGACAGGTCTTAGTGTATGATATTTAAACGTGATTATGGGCGTCATTAATATAAGATTCATGCCTCTAACTAAAGCTAGAGAGTAGTTAACTCAATTAAGATTAATTGAAGTCTAAGACTTATGAGTAGTTATGATGAAATGAGTAAAAAGACGTGACGGTATGATGTTGTCGGTCCATAAATGATGGAACTCTCAAACTCATTCAATCTCTATAGATCTTGCCCTACAAGCGAACCAAACTGTGGACCTGCCAATTGTCAACATGTCTTTGATAGACTAGCTAAGGTACTTCCTTCTTAGAGAAGACGTTGACTTTGACTACTGTTGTAGGTACTTTTACTTCTTTCTTTTTTTTTGGTTTAAGGCAAAAGGATAGCTATTTACGAAGGAACAATGTATTCAGTAGTATTCTTACCAAAAAAAAAATGTATTCAATAGTATTTCCTCTGTTCTTTCTAAAAAATTGTTTTCTGAAAATTGTCATGTTCTATAGGGATTTATTTTCTATACATTTTTAATTAATTTACAAACTTCAAAAAGTAATTATTGAGAATATTTGAATTTATCAACTGTTATTGGCCCACAATTATTACATAGTATTTTAATTTGTGTAAAAACTCCTAAAAATCAGTTTTTTAGGAACAAAAGTAGTATTTCTCTATATTTTATTAGGTGAACATAAATGAATAAAAATCATATTTATCACTTGAAGAAGCTATTTGTCAAAGATTAAGCCATATTAGAGTTAACAATGGCTTTTTAACTTCCAACTCTCTATGGTCTATGCAACTTATAGATGTATGACAATAAATTATATTTACGACTCACTAATTATTTTTTTGATAAGTTTGTATCTATAATCCGCAAAAGAATTGGAGAGGAATTGAACACTAAACATAACATTTTTAACAAACCATTGAACCAAAGGCTTCCATGTATAAATAGTTTAGGGTACACTTCTCTTATAATTTTAAAAAAATCAATAAAAACTGATATTTTACTGCTCATAATAATATTATATCAATCTAATAACTTTTTCATAAGATCATCAGTTACGATAACTTTTTCTCCAAATTACTTCAACAATTGGCAAATACAAAAACGAAAAAAAATCCTGCAAAAAGGAAAAAATATTACTGGACAAGTCATTTTGACAGTATTTAGTGGGAAATGAAGTGGCAGTTCTTAGATTCTCTCAATTACTTTGGATTAAATGTGAAACGGTCACTACTTCTCTTTATGTGTTGTTTTGTTACTTTGCTGTTTATGGTCTTAAAGATTCATTGTTTGGTGAGAAACCTATGAGACTCACTCACTATCTCCCTGTTATTAAGTACCAAACCAAAAAGTAAAAAAGAAAAAGACAAAACTAAAGTCTTATACTTTTAAGTGTTTTCTCATTTCTTTTTTTGACCAATTTCGAGATCAAAAGAAACTTTTTTTTCTTTATTCTTCTCAATTCTGCATCGGGATCTTACTGTTTTTATTTTATTAAATTTGTAAACACTGTAAAATTCTCAAAGTCGAGACCTTTTTCTTTTACAAAGTCGTCACAATTCTCAAACCCTTAATTGAATCAAGAGAAAGAGAGAATTTTGATTAATTTAAGTCTGGACCCTGAAGTCCCCACACAAGCAAAGCTTCGATGGATCCCAAGAACCTAAATCGTCACCAAGTACCAAATTTCTTGAACCCACCACCACCACGAAATCAGGGTTTGGGAGATGGTGTTGTTGTTTCCGACGACAAGGACGAGAATCGCAAACCAACAACTGAGATTAAAGATTTCCAGATCGTGGTCTCTGCTTCCGACAAAGAACCAAACACTAAGAAGAGTCAGAATCAGAACCAGCTTGGTCCTAAGCGAAGCTCTAACAAAGACAGACACACTAAAGTCGAAGGTAGAGGTCGAAGAATTCGGATGCCTGCTCTTTGTGCTGCTAGGATTTTTCAATTGACTAGAGAATTGGGTCATAAATCGGATGGTGAAACAATCCAGTGGCTGCTTCAACAAGCTGAGCCGTCGATTATTGCAGCCACTGGTTCAGGAACTATACCAGCCTCTGCTTTAGCTTCAGCTGCAAGCTCTGTCTCTAACCATCATCAAGGTGGGTCTCTTACTACTGGTTTAATGATCAGTCATGACTTAGATGGTGGGTCTAGTAGTGGTAGACCATTAAATTGGGGAATTGGTGGTGGTGAAGGAGCTTCTAGGTCAAATTTACCAACTGGGTTATGGCCAAATGTAGCTGGGTTTGGTTCTGGTGTACCAACTACTGGGTTAATGAGTGAAGGAGCTGGTTATAGAATTGGGTTTCCTGGTTTTGATTTTCCTGGTGTTGGTCCTATGAGTTTTGCATCTATTTTGGGTGGTGCTGGTGGGAATCATAATCAGATGCCTGGACTTGAGTTAGGGTTGTCTCAAGAAGGGAATGTTGGGGTTTTGAATCCTCAGTCTTTTACTCAGATTTATCAACAGATGGGTCAAGCTCAATCTCAGGCTCAAGGTAGGGTTCTTCACCATATGCATCATAACCATGAAGAACATCAGCAAGAGAGTGGTGAGAAAGATGATTCTCAAGGCTCAGGTCGTTAAAGCATTGGTTTTTTTTTTAATCTTCTGGATTTGAAAAGCTTTTGGCTTTTGTTTTGTGATAATATTGTTGTAATTTGTATCACTATGGAGAAGAAAAAGAAAAAGGAAAAGGTTTTATACTGAGTGAGAGTGATAATCTATACTTATTGAAACCTCTGCAAAAACACAGGTGAGCTCAAACTCTTTTTCTGAGTGTTTGTGACCATTTTTTTTGGCAGTTGTTGTTTGAACTTGCAGGTGGAGTTTGTTGATACACACAGCCAAAGATTTTTTTGTTTGGAGTGTTTAAGTTCCAGAGAGGCTTGTTTTACTTATGCTGTGTGTTGTTGCTTTTGAATATCAAGAAACCGGCTTTTTTCTATAGTACAACAATGGTTATGTATACTTGTCTTCTTTTTGGAATGAAGATTATACCCTCTCTTTTGCACACTGCATCTCCAAAGATTGTTCTCTTTCGCTCGATCTCTCTGAATGACAGAATGAGTTAAGACTTCTGTTGTGTAAAATACTTTGCTGCATGTTCTGATTCAGTGGCTTTGAGCTGCAATGGATTTCTCAAGGAGGTAAAGTTCTACTCTTTAACTCTTACTTGCATCTCCGATTGAGTTTGTGCGCTATGTGAAGTTACGTTAGCCGTGGAAATGTTTTGAATTTGGTACAAACCTGATTTTGCAGTTGGGAACCAAATAAGCTGATTACAACTTCATTGTAGTTTCATTCTATAAACAGAAGCCAATTTTTGTTTCTTGGACTTATAGTTCCTGGTTTTGCATTTACTCTTTGCCTTTTAAGCTTTTTCAAAGATAGAGTATAAATTGTTTCAACGAGTCAAAAAGTTCAAATCACTTTTACTCATTTTGACTTGAATTTGACGGAGATAAGGAAAGAGAAGAGAGAGGTAAACCAGTCAAAAAAGTTGGTTGATCTCTTATTTGTCCAACCAGTCTCTCTTTTAAGCAAAGATCTAAACTCAACACTAATGGTCCAAATACTACTCCAAGAGATCCATTCCAAAGCCTCGCCCATGATGAGAGCGTAAGACTAATTCTCCTCATAAGTTGCTTACTCTTTGAATTGCCATTCTCTCTGGCACAGTGGGCAATGAGCTTGACTCGTATGCGAATTAACCCATTTCAATATACAGTGAAGATGAAAAGCGTGGTTGCAAGCTCCCCAAACTGCCCTAACACCAAAACAATAAGGTCTAAGATATGTAGTTTTGTTATTACCATAAGTAAATAGAACATCTTAGCAATGTTCCAGTAAGCATGAGAGATAGTGTGTGTCCTAAGAAACCTATATAAATGTGAAGACATGAAAGCAGAGAACTTTACTTAGAGGGCAATCTTCTGAAACCGCACTTGGGATAAATTTGAATCCTCTATGCAAACCACAAGACAGGTGTTGTCATCGTCGCTCGGGACAACTTGCAAATTGAGTATGAATTGGCTTCCAATTGAAATCTCTGATCAGGAGTTTGCATCTGATCAGGTAATTATGATCATTACCTAATTCTTTAGTTTAGATCATTTAGAAGATTGCTATACAAGTAAACAGATAGAAATATCTGTTTGACCTAATATGGGCCTGAGATAGCCCATCAATACCCACAACAAAGTCAACTCCATCTCAATATTCGAGAAAAGGGGTAAACGTATTAAAGGCCCATTAATAATTTTTACCAGTAGCTTAAAAAGATTTGCCGTTTGTGTATTGACCATTTGCATTACGTGACGTTTTTATGTAGTGTAAACGACGCGCATTCTTTTAAAGAAACGAGGAAACAATATTGAGCTGTTTTTGTTTGTCGAAGAGCAAATTTGTTTTTCTCGATCGCGACCAGTGACCGGACCAAGTAGAGAAGAGTGATTCTTCGCTTCGATTCAAAGACAAGTTTTTCTTTTGTTCCCTGAGAGATCGAATCGAAGAAATCTGATTCTTGTAATTCGATAAAAATCTGAAATTTCTTTAGAAATTGGAGGAGAATGGACAACAAAAACGTCGTCGTTTGCGACAACGGCACCGGTGTAATCTTCTTCTCTCTTATATCTCTTTGCTTGAATCTGATCAATCATCATTCCGTTTCTTTCTGGGTTTCGTTAAAAATCTCACCTTTTCCTCTTCTTTGGGTTTGTTTAGGATCTAGTTATCTTAAAGTTGCAAAATTTGAAAAACTTTCATTGTGTAAGATTGTGTTTCTATTGAAATCGAAGCTGATCCATGAGATTTCTCTTAATGGGTTGCCACAAGTTTATGTGTTTTGAGTCTCTTATGTCAGATTTTGTTGTTGGCAAATTTTCAGTATGTCAAATGTGGATTTGCTGGAGAGAATTTCCCAACGTCGGTTTTCCCCTGTGTCGTGGGAAGACCGTTGCTTCGGTATGAAGAATCACTCATGGAGCAACAAGTCAAGGTTTGTAGATATGTGACTTAAATAAGCAATACCAGATCATTGTTATCCTTCTGATTGAGCTGATATGCGTAATTCGATTTCATATACGTTTTGGTTTTGTTTCATTGTAGGATATAGTTGTTGGGGAGACTTGCTCTGAGCTTCGACATCAATTGGATATAAATTATCCTGTGCATAATGGTATTGTGCAGAATTGGGATGATATGGAACATGTTTGGGATCATGCTTTCTATAACGAATTGAAAGTAAATTTCTTCTCCTGCTTCTTCTTGCCATTTTTGTCTCGGTTACATAATTCTTGACTTACTCTAAAACCCTTTTGTTATTAACAGATCAATCCATCAGAGTGTAAGATATTGCTCACGGATCCACCTCTTAATCCCTCCAAGAATCGTGAAAAAATGGTAAGATATTCTCATGTCTTTGGTTAAGAGTTGCGTTGATGGTTGTTGGAGCAGTAATTTATTTTTAATTTACCTAAAACAGATTGAGACAATGTTTGAGAAATACAACTTCGCTGGCGTTTTCATTCAAATCCAAGCCGTTTTGACTCTGTATGCTCAAGGTGCTTATGGAGATTATTGAAGGTTTAGATTTTCTTTCGTGTGTTTATATAGTCACCTGTGAAAAACATATATGCGTGCTTCATGGATATCTTTCTTCTTGGTTCCAGGTTTGCTAACTGGTTTGGTTATTGATTCTGGTGATGGTGTTACTCATGTGGTAAGCTACAAAACTCTGTAATTATCAGATCGAATATGCTTATAAATTATAATAGAGAAGTTAACCGTCTTCGCCTCACATCTTAGGTTCCGGTGGTTGACGGCTACTCGTTCCCTCATCTTACCAAAAGAATGAATGTCGCTGGCAGACACATAACAGCGTATCTCGTTGATCTACTATCTCGACGAGGGTGAGAAACTGATTCGTAGGCTCACATGTTGAAGCTTAATTAACATTTTGATGATATTTGAGATGTTTTAAATTAGCTAAACTAAATAATTGTTTGTTCAACAGATATGCGATGAATAAAACGGCTGATTTTGAGACGGTTAGGGAAATTAAAGAGAAGCTTTGCTATATAAGGCATGCAAAAACCTCTTCTGAATTTTCTTCTAATATCTGCGTAGTAATGTAGTACAAGACTAGGAAATGAAAATTATTAATTTTTACTTTGTTTGCAGTTATGATTACAAGAGAGAGTCTCAACTTGGGCTTGAGACAACCATCCTTGTTAAGAATTATACTGTAAGTTCTCTATTCTGGTATGAACCTGTCAGGAGTTGAATTTTCAAGATTTATAGGGAAAATAGAGGCAAGAAACAGAAAGTAGCGTACGTTAACCTTATATGCATCTAAACTCATGATCAGAACCTAGGAGATAACAAATTCTTAGCAAACACGAGTCTGTTGAGACAGTTGAAGATTCTTGCCATCTTTCCTTAGTTTCTTGGCGATTTGTATGGGATTTGTCAATCCGATAGTCGATAAAGTTTCAAACTTCTGCCAATTGCAGCCTCAGTTAACTGATATTATCACACCAAATAATTATTTTCCGGCCTACTAATCTGTTGTGTTCTTGTACTGTGACCAGCTTCCAGATGGGAGGGTCATCAAAGTAGGCACTGAAAGGTTCCAAGCACCCGAAGCCCTTTTTTCACCGGTAAACCTTACCTTCATCGCGTCATCTACTAATTTCTCTTTTTGTAATAGTTTCAACCCTCCAAGAATCTTGAGTGTGATCACAGAACAAAATCTTTTATTCAGGAACTCATTGATGTTGAAGGTGATGGAATGGCAGACATGGTTTTCCGCTGTATTCAAGAAATGGATATTGATAACCGCATGATGGTATGTGCTTACTTCTTATTTCAAAAGAAAGATCCAAAACCAATCATATATTTGTCTTAAACCATTTGCTCTTTTTTCACAGCTCTACCAACACATAGTTTTAAGCGGAGGAAGCACCATGTACCCAGGATTACCTAGCCGGTTTGTATTCTTTTTGATTTTTCATAAGCACCTTGATGGTTTACGTTTAATGTCCTGTGTGTTCTCTTTGTTTCAGTCTTGAGAAAGAAATCCAGGATCGGTATCTCGACACAGTTCTAAAAGGAAACAAAGATGGCTTGAAGGTAAAAAAGATATTCTGATAATGCCACACTCTCAGTGTTTAACATTTATTTTCGTTTTTTCTTATCAATCAGAAACTCAGATTGCGGATCGAAGATCCACCGAGAAGGAAACACATGGTATACCTCGGAGGTGCTGTTCTTGCAGGAATCATGAAGGTAAAGAAAAGTTCAATGCTATCTCTCTTTTAACACGAAAGCGTGAAATTTTAGTCTGTGTTATGATGTTAAGAGAATTTGGATTTGATGTTGCAGGACGCACCAGAGTTCTGGATCAATAGAGAGGACTATATGGAAGAAGGAATTAATTGTTTAAACAAAATGAGCCAAGCTTGAAATTATCTAATAGTCATGCACTTTTTCCGGACGTTTTAGGAGAATTGTGTAAGTTTGTTCGTAAGATTTTGGTGTGTTTTCTAGCATTCGCCAATATTTTCCTCTGTTCATTACATTGTGAAATAAAATTGTGATTTCTCTTACTTATTTTTCATACTCGACGAAATAAAGATACAAATTTTGTGTTTAACCAAAGCCAATGGTCGAGAACAGGACGAGACATATCTCTGAATAGAGAAGCAAACAGCCTCAAATAACACTGAAAGATAATTTTGTAGTTTTATAAAGGAACCCTATTTCTTGCCACACAAGGCAAGATCCCTATTGAACGGTCTGAAATTCAAAGCATTGAATCCATAAACACAGGAATTAGACCTTTGAGACTTAAATAAGACCTGATCCGTTGTAGTTCTATAACCAGGAATGTTGCAAGAAGAACCAGAGAAGTTTCTTCGTCCGATCAAACTCGCTTGACAAGAACTCGCGAGACTGTCCACATCAGCACAATCCATAGAAGATATGGCTACCTTGTAGAGTCCGAACTCGTTGGTGGTTCTGTTTGCAGAGAATGTTATAGTCTCTCTCGTTGTTGACGAAGCTGCTTTGAATCTGCAGACTATTCTCACTTCCACACCTGTGTCAAGAAACGTTAAGAAACAGAGTTCTTGCAGAGAAAATTAATTAAAGAGATCTTTTTTGTTTTGAGTTACTACCGGACATGAAGTAACTGTGTTTAGAAAAACTGTTGTTGGAGCAGACATCGCAGTAAACAAAACCCATTATAGTGATTTCTGCATCTGGTTTTGGTTTAGGTGATGAATGTTTTGGAGGTAGAGAGTTCACAAGAAAAAATTGCAGAAGAGAAAACAAAAACATTATCAGTGATTTTTTCTTCATCTTGAACACAACACGTTTCAAGTTTGGTTTATTTGTATATGTGGTTGATGTAAGAGTTGGAGAATATGTGTGTGTGAAGGAAGAAGAAATATAGGGAACTAGTTTTCAGACAAGAAGAGATGGGAACAACTCTATTGAAATAGCTTCATGGTTCCTTTCTATATATAGAGAGAGTTATACAAAGAGAAAACTAAGAAATGTGCCATATACTCCTGAAAATCTTAACAAAATTGCCACATACACTCATTCCTTTTCAATCGTGCCATAGACCCCTATTGGAAAGACTGTTTTGCCCCTTTGGAGAGAATGCTTTTGCAACTGACCAAAGTCAAACGCTCTGACTCGAAACAGTGACACGTCATATCCCCTCTCTCGAGAACGGGAACTCCCACTTTCTCTGTTTTCGACATATTTAGCCGCGAAAATTAAACCTTTCATATTCTTCATCATTTCCAGAGATTTCCAGACGAAACCATTAGGGTTCTTACTTTTCTCTCTCAAAACCTTAAACTTTACTTTTCTCTCTCAAAACCTTAAACTGAAAGGGTTATTCGGAAAAAACGATTATCATGCCATACAACCCTTTTTTTTTCATGAAGCAGAGGGTCGATTTGAATCCCTCCATCCGGGAAACCAACACTGATTCTGGGTAAGTGTTCTTCAACAAACCCTTCTCTCTGGATCCCTTTGATTTTGTTCATGTTTAACTAACCATCAATCTATTGATTTTGTTTCCACAGTTCGAAAACAACAGATCCCGAAAAAGCACCCGGTTTGATTTCTTCAGAAGCCGCGAATAATCCCTCCGAAGAAATCAACAACCTGCCTCCGGAGATTTCTTCTCCATCAAAGTATGTCGCTTTTGTGAAACGGTAGACAATTTCGCAATTTCTTTCTCACAACACTTCTCTGACATTTATTTTCATTATTTTGTCCTCAGATCTGATCCATCGAATTCTGAAACCATCGGTGATACCTCGAAACTCCCCCCGACTAATGCCTCCGACGCCCAGAACGAACTTCTACCGGTGATGTCCTCACCATCTAGGTGACTAAATTTCAGCAATTATAGTTAACGGACAATTTGTTTTGTGGACGAATTCGCGAACTTGTAGACAACTTCCGGATCTGTTCCCAGATCTCCCCTCTGACCATTATTTCGCTTCTGTTGTACCTCAGATCTAACACATCGAACCCGGGTGAAGACGCCTCTTCCAATCCAGACGAATCGGCGCCTGATCTCCTAGTGAATTTCTCTCCATCTAGGTCTGTTTATTTAAGATCTTGTCTACAAGACTTTTAAATTGGTAGACAAATTTCAACAGTTCTTGTCTATAAGACTTCTAAACTAACTTGTCCATTATTTCAACAGATCGAAGACAACAGATCCAGAACTATGCGCCGGTTCTGCTTCACCCATTTTGGACCCAAGTTCCACGGAAGTCGACAACCATCTCCCCTCGGAATCTACAATACCAGCAAGGTATAGCCGTGGACATTTATTGGTTTTCAAGTGCATAGACAAAGTTTTTTCATTTGATGGACAAATTCTAAATTTTGTCCTTTGCGGACTTTTCTATCTTGTCCGCAGTGATGTTCCATCGACTTCTCGTATCCCTTCAGAGAGTTCTCCAGATCTTCTCCCTCCTCGGTTGTTTGCTACAGATCGGTACCCTGTCAGAGGGCGTATCAATTCATACTCGAGACCAGAGTATTTGCTAGACCTTGTTGAAGTATTAGATGGTTCAGATGAGTTTAGGTGGCTGAAATCTTCTTGCTTTGGGCGTCTCTTTGATCTGCCTGTCCGGAAGAGCTCTTTGTCTGGGAAACTAGTCCATCAAATTCTATGTCGGTCGCTTGTTACCTATAAAAAGTATGAGATGTGGTTTGTTTTTGCCGGCCATCCCATTCGCTTCTCTCTGAGAGAATTTGCTATCCTCACTGGTTTAAATTGTGGTCCCTTACCTTCCCCTGAAGAAAAAAAGAAGATGCAGACTGCAAAACCTGGTGAGGCTGCTTACTTCAACACTCTAATAGGTCCCAATAAAACATACTCCATCCGGGAGATTGTTAGTATTCTGCAGCGTGATAAGCGGTTACCCAGTTCCAAAAGAATGAGTGGTGAACGTAGGCTCCGCCTGGCTCTGATTGTTATAGTTGAGGGTATATTGGTTTGTAATTCTTCTGCTGTTAAAGCTTCCAAGAAAGTGGCAGAGATGTTGAAGGATGTCGACTCATTTGTCAAATACCCATGGGGGCGCAAGTCATTTAAAAGGAGTCTTGAGATGGTCAAACTTGGGCCATACAACCAATCTGTCTCCTTTCTTGTGGATAAACTATGTCAGTCCCATACAGCTACTCACGGCTTCACTCTCTCTTTCCAACTGTTGGCCCTACACGCAATTCCTCTTCTTCAAAGGTATTTACCTGACTTAAACGATGAGCAGACGTTTACTGACAGGTCTGTGCTTCAACTCACACAGTTAAAGACCTTTCATAATTCCAACATCTTGCAAACAGAGAATGATCCGAATGTAAGTCTAATATTGTCTACCATTTATTTTTTTTCACATATATAATAAAGAGATCCTCATGGCTTATTTCATTCTTCCAAGGTTGATATTGAGTGCATTCTACACACTCAAGATGAGGATGATCTCCAAGACTTCTCATGGACTGATGAGGTTGAAGATTTGGCTGTGGACAACATATTCAACAAGTTGAAGGATGGGCATGTTTTCAATAAATCAGATTGGCATGGTGGTGTCTCACATCTACCATTATTATCTGATGCAATGTTAGCAGCGGCTGCTAAAACAAAGAATGTCTCCAAACCAATACAGAAGAAGCAGGGAACCAAAAAGGCATCTAAACCAAAGCCAGACAAAGAGATCCCTGAAGCCAGCAATTCCCCAAAGGTTCCTGATGATGTTGATGTATCCACACGAGAACAGATCCTTCGTGAGGTTGAACGGAGAAACAATGAGCACACATCCCAAATCAAGGAGATGTTGAGAATTGAGATGGCTCTATACAAAGACGAGATTGTGGACCAGGTTATACGCAATTTGAGGGAAAATGGTGTCAATAATAGCTCTGTCAAATTGTCTACCAATGACACTATGCCTCGGAATAATAAATGGGATTGCTCTGATCATGGTACAACTTTCACAGACATTCTGAACAAGGTATCCATAGCTTGCAAGGATCCATCGGTTGGTGTTCAGGTCAGTAATTAGCTAATGTTTTTCCTTTTATTAATATATGTCTGTCAACAATGGACATACTAATTTAATGTCTCTTAAATTATTTAGCAGCAAAGTCAGTCGCCCATTGACTGCAGTTCATCGGAGTCTGGCGATGAAGACATAGCTGAGGCATCTTTGTCCCCAATTCTGCAACCTGACTTGACCAACATAATGCCTAACAATCCTGCTTCAAAACCACACCTAGCTGAGCAGGAAGATATTGACTCTGATTACAATCCTCAAATGGTTAGTTTCTTTGGATCTCTACTTTCTTCGCACCTCTGTTACATTTCTTTTCTGAGACATGGCATTATTATATACCATGGACAACAAAATAATCTCAATTACTGTTGTCTACTCTTTTTTTTAGATGGTTGAAAATGAAGAGCTTCATGAAAAAGACATTCCAAACGAGGACAAATCAGATCCGGAAGTTGTTAGTAATTCTGAGTCAGAAGCTGAGGAATCAAAAGAAACTAACGACAGTAAAGAAGACCACATTGCCATGTCCACTGATTCGGTATACGTCTTCCATATTTTTGTCTACAACTGTCTCCGAGTTTATATTGTTTGCTGACTTTTTTTTTGTCTATCTCAGGTACCAATTGAGGAAAAAAACAAAGATATGAGTAATATACCATGCATAACATCTGTGGACAAGAAGAATGTTGTCAATGAATCTGAATCAGAGGCCAATGAATCTGACTCTGTTGAACGTGGACTTCAATCAGATGATGAAGTCTCTGAGGACAAACAAGACCAAAACATGGTCTTGTCCACAGATGAGGTTAATTCCAGTTACTCTTCCTCATCTCAATTACTTTAAAAGTTGTATTTTACATCTTCCTCTCCTTCTCAGGTACCAAATCCACCTGCAAAAAAGAGAAAAGAACCAATTTTGGACCAAATCCTTACTCCTCTTCCAACTAAAAGACCAAGGACTATGCCTAGAAGATTTGGGCAATGTAGCTCCTCTAGAAGGAGGGACCCCCTACCTTCTGTACCTGATCTTGCTGTATATATGCCTTTTCGCGTTGTTAAACCATCCATCAAAAAGAAATTCTTGAACAAGCTTGCCTCTTATTCCAACAAGTAAGTTGTCTTCAAACCTATGTTACTCATTTATTATGGACCAAATTTATTTCCAATAGACAATTTTCTTGTCTACAGAGAGTACATAATTGATGGTCACGCCGTTAAGAAGACTTTCTTTGAAGAAATTTACACACCAAAGCACTGGGTTGATACCCCTGTAAGTATACCTCCGTCTCTATTTATATCTTTTTACCATGCTTACAATTTACAATTTTCTTCTCCTCTTTGTTGTTTGTTTCCCAGCACATGGAAGCACTGCTGTCTCTTGTTTGGGGGAAGCTTGGTGAGTCATTCCTGCAATCACGGGTGGTTGTTTTGGACACTTGGTTTGCACAATTGCTTTCCAATGACTATCGCCGCTTCACTTCAGCGAAGAAAAAGGCCAACTTCCCATGGAATAGTGTTATAAAGAATACTGTTCTAGGCATTGTCCCAAGCCGCTCTTCTAAATGTGCTTGGTATTCCGACGTCGATACTGTTTATGTGCCCATGAACTGGGGGAAGCGACACTGGGTTGCCGTTGCTATCCACCTAAAGACTGGAGTTATCTCTATTCTCGATCCTCTCATCATCCACACGAAACCTACCCATGTCCCACGGCTGATGAAACCGCTTGTGGAGATGCTGCCATACATCATTAGGGACCTTGTCCCCCCTTCAGCTTCACAAGAACCCCTCCCCAAGTCATTTACTAAAGAAAGGATGGTTGAACTCTACCAGAACGACCGCACAGGTGACTGTGGCCCAGTCAGTGTTAAGTTCATTGAGCTCCACGCACAAAGATTGGGTTTGGATGGTATAACAGATCAGATGGTGGACGAGTTTAGGATGGCATACGCTGTTGATGTCTACGAGGCTTTTGTTGTCTCTCTTTCTTAGACTTCTTTTAAGCTATTTACTCTCTCGTAACTTTATTTGACGAATTTGGTTATTTTTATGTTTATCCCTAAATTTGCAAACTTTATTTAACTAATGTCTTTAATTTATGGTACCATTGTCTTTAATTTATGCAATACAACCAAGGGACAACCAACAACTACCCAACCATTTAATGAAGAGAACTATCTTCAAACGGGATAACCACTATAAAAGCCTTCCTCATAGAAAAACCTATGGAGACCAATTTATTGGTTAGAAATCTTTAGCCCCTCATTGACAAACATGTGTAAATTTTCCCTTTTTTCCTGTATCCCTAATCATCTTATTATTCTAATTCTCAACCGTCTATCGGCAGAAGGGTTTGAGTTCTTAGGCCCCCTAATGGCTTCGGGGAAAGAGGGAATGGCTTATGTTTTTAATGACCAAGTTCTGAAGGCAGCTTCTCTTCAAACTTTTGTAGACAACCCCGTACTTGTTAATCGATGGACAAAGTTTCGCCCTTTCTTTGTTCGTTGTCTTCAATCCGGCAATCCAGCTGCATGCTACATCGAAAGTCTTCGTCTAGCTACTAGAGAAGGTATGATCGAAGACGCCATCACCTTGCTTTCCAGCAGCGACGCATTAACTGAAGAAATGCAGTTTGCATTAGGGTTGTTTCAAATAACACGTGGACTTTATCAAGAGGGCATTACGACTATGGATTCCTTCCAAGAAAGTGTTGGTGATTACTTCCTAGCTGAAATGGTAGCTGAAAGAGTTTTCCAACTCATTCGTGAAATTGGTCCATTGCGTATTACTCGTTTCCCACTATACGCATCTACATGGAGGTTTTACCACGTCCCAAAATGCGTTCTAGCTGGGACTACTTGCACCCAACACACACGTTGTGAAACATGTTTCGTTTTCTGGCGTTCTATTCAATTTATGTGTATGTTTTAGATGAGTTGTCCTTAAAGCTAAGTATTAAATGTTGTCTACTTTGGCAAAATTATGTCCACCATACACTAATTTCGGTTTCTATCCAAATATATAAGTTTTAAATGTTGTCTACATTTGCTACTATATATTGTCTACACGTAGTTTGTTGTGTCTGTTATGTTTTTAGGTCCATTAGGCTCTGTCTTTCTGTTTGGAATACCAAACTCTAACTAATGCATTTGTTCAAGGGTTCGAGGGTTTCCCAATTGAAACCTCAATTCTCCTCCCATCCCTATATTTGCTCCGAGAGAACATATCCCTCAACAAAGCAACCCATATCGTACTATTACCCACTGGTCTCACAATTCCCATCAATGTTGCGTGTTGTCAGAATAAAGGGGTGCCAGCCTGTTTTGGAAGACTGAATTTCATCCACTTTTTAAAATATAGTTTTTTTAAAAAAAGTTGAAAATTGGAGAAATTTTCTCTTTTGTAAACTCAACACAAATTAACCCTTCTACTCTCCTCTTGTATTTAGGGCGAACCATTCTCTCTCTCCTTTTTATTCCCAACTTGCCTCCCTTTATTATCTTCCGATTAAATTCCCTTTCAACTTTAAAATGGGTCAATATAGCTACAGTCAACCATCCTCATCCTCCGCCTCCTCTGTTAACTCGCGAGATCGTCGTAATGGGAAGTTCGGAATTCCTCGTCGATGCACCTGTGGTGGAAAAGTACAGCTCGACCGTGTTTCCCATGGACCAGATGTAGGCCGTTTGATCTACAAATGCGAACGACATGAGGTTAGCTCTTCAAAGACCTTAATTTGTCCTTGTTTAACTTCTATTTTCAAATCTAACTTTATCCACTTTCAATTTTTCCCCCAAGGAAAACGGTTTGCATCTTAACAAGTTGTGGTATAAGGCTATAGAAGAGGAAATTCACGACTTAAATGTGAAGAGGTGTGAACAAAATGATCGGTTCTCCTACTTCACTCAAGGTCCGGATGGCAATCAGATAGACCCCCCTATGATGTGGTCTCAGGTTAGCTTCCACGACAAAGAAATCAATCGTTACAGGGTATTACTCCAAGATTGCTCAGATGGGTTGAAAGACCTTAACTCTCAGATTCACTCTACCATCACTCCCACAGCCAACAACTCCATCAAGCCCGGCATACTTATCAGCTATGACAAGATTGTAGCAATCTTTCTACTTCTAACAATCCTGACCATTGCATTAGCTATTTCTCTTTTTAAGTAGGCCCGACTTGTTGTGGACCAATACTATCCTCCTCTCGTCAGGATGATCTCTATCTCTGTTTAACCATCCTCTTGTTTGTTTCTCCACTTTATGATGTAGACAATGTCTAAAGTATGTAACCATCTGATATCTATCACATGAACTTGTCCTCCTCCTATCGTAGACAAGTTCTCAACATTTAGTCTACATCTTATTCTCTTCCAGCAAACAATCTTATTAATGTCCACATGAACTTGTAGACAAATATGTTTTTGATTTGATGTGTGGATCTACAACAGACTATGTCTCTTGCTGTCAACAACCTGTACTCTTATATTCATAGACAACTTGTCATTTTCCTTGCCACATACTTATTAATGTCCTTCAACTTTAATAAGATATGTCCACAGTTCCATATCGCAGGATGAACAAATGACCTCACAAATTGCAATATAAAATCATGTGGACATTATTGACAGACTATGTCTGACGTGGACATTTACTTCTTTTTCTCTACAGTGCTACTACGCAATTCAAACAAAAACCGTCTTAAATAGGTAAGAGAAATAATCCAGTTCACAGTTTTTGGTTTTTACTGTTCCAATAATCACCGCAAAACAAATCATCCCAAAAAAATAAATCTCAACAAAATTTCCCCACTAAAAGCTTCAAATAAGGGTGGAGCATGTTTTTCGGTTGTGCCCACCTCCTCCACATCTCCCACATTTGGTCACTCTTTTTGTCTTCCCCTACATAGTTAAGATGGACATGTTAATACGTTTTCATATTTTGTCCACTAAAATACTTTCAGATCAAAAATGTCCTTACTCTGTGTTTTTCTCCTTGCGATGGAATCCTTACTTTTCTTGGCCTTCCTCCTCCTCTTTTTGTCTTCGGTGGGTTCAGTACTACCTCTTGTATTTCCTCAGGCACATCCGAGTCTCTCTCTTTTGGCACCGGCATCACAATTTGTTCGTATTTTTTCATCCAAGGCTCCACAAAATACCACTCCCCTACCAATGAGTAGATATCCACATCCCTCACTTTTACTGCAGCCAATGCGTGTGAGCATGGCACCTGCAACACGTCAAACACCCTACATGTGCATGATTTCTTTTCCAAATCCACTGTGAACACTATACCATTCCCATCGTTGACTTGATAAATCCAATCACTAGCCGACAATACGGCGCAATCCACGGACTCTTTGAAGTGGTCAATCAAGAGTTCCTCTATTTCTGGTGTACACCTAGTTTTAGCCTTCCTAGCTACTGTCCTCCTACACCAAAACCACCTCATCAACATTGCTCTTATGAATTCTACCATCGAAACAATGGGGTAATCCACCGCTTTTTGTAGTGCTGCGTTCAATGACTCTGATATGTTACTACTCATTATATTGTAACGCATACCGGGGAAGTGAGAAAGTGTCCAATGTGGTAGTCCAATGTTCAAAAGATATGAAGCACAAGCAGGCTTACGACTCTCTATTTCCCTCCACCACCATCGAAAATCACCAACCGTAAATGCCCTAGCTGCTTTGGAGACTATACCGGCTAGACCTTCATTAGAGAACTTGTGCTTCACATTTCTAAATAGGTGGACTGCACATGCCGCATGGTGAGCTAGTGGATATACTTGCCTCAATCCCGAATAAATCGATGCATGACGGTCCGAAACAAATACAAGGTCTTCACTATCTGGTACAAATTTAGTTAGATTTTTAAAGAACCAAACCCAACCACCTTCGTTTTCCCCATCTACTACACCAAATGCCAATGGGAATATTTGCATATTGCCATCTTGTCCACTAGCTGCTACCAAACATCCCTTATACTTCCCTTTCATTGCCGTACCATCTATAACAATCACCTTCCTCAAATACTTATACCCGGCAATTGAAGCCCCAAAAGCAAAGAAAAGATACTTAAATAACGTGTTCCCCTTCTGATCTTTGCTTGTATGCATCTCAGTTATTGTCCCTGGGTTTGTAGACTTTACTAGGTGCAAGTACGTCGCCAAAAACTTGTAGCTCTCTTCTTCATTCCCACGAGCTGCTGCAATTGCCAATTCTTTTGTGTTCCAAGCTTTCATGTAAGATATAGTGACGTTCAATTCCGCTAATACCATCTCAGGTAGCTCACATGCCCTTGGCCCTTTCTTCCCATTAGCATATTTTGAGCACAGCAAATCTGCTAATATCTTCGCCGTCGCCTTCTCGCTATACCTAGACCTATAGGACACATCACAAGTATGCTTCAATCTAGCTGTTCTAATTTCCAAATTTTCAGAGTCTTTGTGGTTTACGGCATATATTCTCCAATCGCACTTCTTGTCCACGCACCTCACAATGGCTCTCCCTTTGTCAGACTTTAACACCCTAAAACTAAACAGTCGCTGCATCGCATAAACTGACAGAAATTTGTGTAGCTCCGCCTTGTTAGCAAAAATTCTGCCAATATAAATTGCATCACTAGCCCTTTTTAAATCCATGTTTCTCTCATCGCTTGGTGCTCCTCTCATGTTATCATGTACCGGTGGTGCATCATTCAACAATAATGGATCGTTGACATCAATGACCCCAAACATATCCTCCTCCATGAAGCTACTTATTATAGCTTGTTCTCCTACATTCTCATCTTCTCTTCCAAGTACACCAATTTCTTCTTCTAAACCGAGAGAAAACCCTATTGGTACAATTTCATCTACCAATGACTGTCGCTCCGTAATCTGCTCTCCTACCTCTCTTTCATGCTCTCCAGATGGTCCTCCAACCTCATACACACCCATTTCGCCCATAACTCCTAATGCCACGTCTTCTACTTCTTTTTCACCAAGACCATTGTAAGGATCCCAATCAGGTGGATAATCATTGTTTATTCTCTCGGTCCACTCGTCAAAATTGTAATCGGGCTCCTCATCATAATTACTTGACATGTCCATCAGGTTTTCTTCATTTTCGTCTCTCAGGATTTCTCCAACATCAACACTAACAGATCCATTAACTTCATTATCCTCCAATATAACAATAGCCTTCCCCTTATCACACCCCCCCACAAGTGCAGTTTGTCCACCAACAATAACATCTCTCAAAAGGTTTTTGTCTACCAACCCTGGCGAGGAGCTTTCTGGTCCACTCCTTTTTTGTCCTGCCATAATTTGTCCACGGCCTCCTCCAACCTCCACCATCCTTTCTTTATGCGCCGCTTCTATCTCTTCTACATAAGCCAGAAGCTGTGTATCACTTATCATTTCCTCCACTTCATCAATGTCTATTTCATACAAACCATCTCCACCGCAATATCCATTAGCATGTTCCTCCTCCATGCTTTCTTCAATATCACAACCCAACTTTTTCAATGTCACATACATGTGTAACCCAAAGCTCTCTCTTTTCTTTTCCTTGAATAACGCATACTCAACATCGCTCTTTATCAACACCGGTGGCATTTTTGTTTGTGTAAACACCGTCGTTTCACCAGCGAACCAGAAACTCAAAACAATGCTAGTTTCTGTCCTCTTAACTCCGAATACCCTTTCTACTTCCCTTTCCAGGTCTGAAAAACTTGAATCTTTCTTCACAGCAACACATCGCGCCATTTCCCCATTACGCACAACGAATCTCCATTCCCCTGTGTCAGAACAGCTCCATTCCCCCAAAATCAATGTCACACTATCCTCCATACTTCACACCTGCGCCACAAATTTACAAAAACCCATAATCAAAACAAAGGCCAATGTCGATTTCTTGGGTTTATATACCCTTGTACTCATAAATGCATCACTAAATGCAGGTAAAAAATGTTAGATTTTGCACGACAAAAACTCAACCACCACCATTTATGACGGACCATACCTCGTTATAAATCTTGTCCACCACTCTCTGTATTTAACTCGTTCGTCCACAGAAAAAACCCAGACAATTTTGAACGGAATTCATTTCTCCATAGTAGCAATCCTCTCAGAAAAACTATCTTTTCCGTTACTTCCTTCTAAAATCACACTCTTAACTTTTGTAGACATATCAGTTTAATTGCTCATTTTTAAGACATATCCATCAGTCCATCACACACCTTACGTGGCATTGTGCCCAATAAATGCCAAACGGCTCTCATAGTACATCAATAAATGCCAAGCAACACACGTCACATCACCCTGCAACGAGACCTCTGCAATTCAAATTGCCGCGTATACCAAACAAGGGTATTTTGGTCTTCTTCACTCTTCTAAAAAGTTAATTTGTGGCACATTTGGAAACAAATGAGTTCTATGGCACATTTACTAAGTTTTACACCACCATGTGGCACTCTAGACCAAATTCCCTTATACAAACGTGTCTTTTAACAATAGGGTTGGACATAAAACGGATATCCTGAAAAATAAAATTAGTATATGCAAAATCTAGTATTAATGTTATATATTTTCATGTTAATAATTTTTAAAAATATAATTTTCCTTCATTTTGTAATTGTTATTATGTATCTTAAAGATACAAAAATAAAAATAAACATTATAAATTTATAATATGATGACTATATGTAGCAAATGGATCGGAACGGATATCCGAATTTTCTAGAATTGCTATTTTTGATTTGCTTTGTTTTAAACGAATACTATACTTACTTTTTTTTTGTGACATCGGAATACTATATTTTACTATTCGTTTTGTTTTTAATAGTATACGAATACTGAATTTCAGATCGAATTAAAGTAAATACCATATCGAAGCGGATCTAATGGATTATTTGTCTTAGCCCTACAAGACAATCACAGGAAAGTGATGGGAGAACAAAGAAAGGCGCATTTGGAGTGAAGATTATAAATGAGAGGAGAGGAATAGAATTAAAGGCCAAAGAAGAAGACAAGAATAGTGGAGAGACACTGAGTGAAAGTGAAGGTTATAAATGAGGGAATTAAGTGGGAGATAGTGAAGAGACAGTGATAAGTTAGGTGAGAGGACATTTATTGAGATCTCATGCTCTCTGTTTCTTTTGGGGTTTTGTAACTACACCCCCAAAAAATTGGCTTTGTGGAAGTGGAAAGTGATGAGAAAGGTAATGCCACTTGTGTCTTATTGTTATGTATGGACCATATAGTACATTTCAAAAGTGTTTGCAACTCAAGAACCAAATTGCAATCGTTTAGTACTGGTTTTCATGGTAGGTAATGGACTGAATAGAGATGTTTGGATACAGTTTTCGGCGGATCTTGGTTAGAGAAGAAACAGGTCTAAGATGTACTAAAGATTAACAAAACCATACAAGAATGTATACAAAGATACTAGAATTAGTTTGTGGAAACAAAAAAAAGAAACAAACTCTTATCTTTATAAAGGATGCTCCAAAGAAAAGTTTTTCATCACAGCTCAAAAGAAACAACTCTAATAGACTAGCTTTATAACGCCATTGATGAAGATTTCTATCAACTTGTGAAGAACATATCGAAAATGAAGCGCGGAAATGGTAGTTTATGTTTTAGGGTCTTTTAGGACAAAACCACAGAGAAGCAAAACTTAACTCTTTCAGATTTTAAGATTTGGGACTTCTTGTTCTCACATTATGGTACATGAGCAAAAGCTTCTCTGTGGGGCTTCTTCCTTTTCGATTTTTTTCTCTGTAAGAGAAGAAAAAACAAGATTTTAGGCTCAAGAACTCTCAAGCATTCATTCCACAAACAAGATTTATGGAGATAAGAAAAAAGTGTATAAAGAACAAGACCTGGTCTTGCTTTTGTTGGAGACGGTTGCACGACAACATGCATTGTAATGACGGATTTAGGGAGATCATCAAATGGAGCTTTACACTGTGCAACAGTTTTACCATTCTCCAAAATCTTACCAGCATTTATCAACTTGATGTCACTAGCTGATTTTGGAACAATCTTCTTGTCTACACATTCAAAACCCTCAAATTCGATTAGTCAATGAGACAAATGCAATTTTTTGTTGAATGCACAAGAATAAGAATATGAAATTCTGCTAAAAAGAATCAGAAGAGTATTCGTCCCTATTAGTCTCCAAAGACATGTTTTGTAGTTTAAGACAAGATTAGTAAATACAATCAGACCAAATCAAAAGCCTATGCATAATGTTGATCTCTGTCTATCAAGCCACAATTGAAGAAACTGTTAAAACATAGATCACAAGATCGAGTAACCGTTTAATAGATCTATAGAGAAATTCCTTCTTCTCTTTCTAGTCTAAGACCAGTGATTTGTAATTCCATCAGATCCTATGAATTATGTCTGAACTTTGTCTATCAAACCACAAGTGAAGAAACTGAAAGAAAATGGCTGAAGCAAACGTTCTAAAGCCAAATCTTCACGGATGAACCTAAAAAAGCAAACCAAAAGACTGTGCTTAGTGCTCACCTTTAGGCCATTCAGAGACAATTCTCTCCTTGAGCATTGAGACTGTGGCGGTTGGAGAGTACTGAAACGGGCCAACATCTGAACCGTCATATAACCGGAATTTAAGTTCTACCAAATCTTCCTCCGGCATTTGATTTATCTTTCTCCCACAATAAAACTCTCACAAGAAAGATTTCACCACAAAGAATCCACCCAAAATGAGACCTACAATAAGAGTACAGAGAGATTCTCAAATTCAAAGGATCAATAATGAAATTTTCAGTTATTGTCGAAGTCAAGAAGTTGGACCAAAGAACAAAACTATTCAGAGAAGACTAGTAATAAGAGCACAGTCAAAATTTAAAGGAATCAATTAAGAAATTTCAGTTATTGTCCAAATCAAGAACTTGGACCAAAGGAACAAGAAGAACAAGAAGCAATAAAAAATCAAAACTTGGAACTCATCTAAGCAACCTAAGCTCCTAAACCGTCACATAAAGTTAACACAAAACACACAAATCTTACCCGAAATAGAGACACTCAATCCAAATGTCAAAGTGTGCTAGGTCTTGCGTCTTGGGAGTGAGGAGAATCAAGAAGTAGGAGAGAAACCCTTAAAAGGGTAATGACCTAATCTTGAAGTGAAGCTGGTAAAATCCAGCTAAGAGATTGCTATCTGATTCTATAAAAATTTCTGATATATCTTTCGTCAGGATTGCCGCGTTACAGGGAATCCCTGACGAGTAAAAGAAATAGATAAAAAGACAAGAAAAATGTGGAAAAGTATGTTTCTTTATTAGTCAAAAGCAAAGCCTTGTCGGCGTTTTGACCAGAAGACTTCAAAACACGAGTTTAAAAAACTTGGTCCAATGTGACTCCCATCTATCGAATCTTCCAACAACAGTAAATTTCAGAACAAAAGAAAGGAAGTTTTTTCAACTGTTTACAGAGATGAAGCCTTTTGATTAGTAGACGTACGAACAATTAGAAAGCATACAAAGCACATTTTAAGAACGTAAAATCCTAATTATCAAAAGACCATTAAAACTATATTTAACAAAAAACCAAAAACCAAAAAAAACAAAAGCTGAGCTTTTTGCTATATTCACCCCCTATAACAGATTTACTCTACTGTCGAGTGACAGGTGTAATAGGCACTGATGAGTTAATGCCACAGAAACCATCTTGTCCCTGAAACTTCTGGTATGAATTCTCCGATGGAGCAGAGGTTGTTGAAAGTTGAGTGAGCCCAGGAACCCAAGGAGGACCTTGTTCTTGTTGTTGCTGCTGCTGTGTGGTTGCAGTAGTGGTGGCTATGCTGTAGTTGAATGGTGTGTGGTTTACAGGACCAGGAGGCTGTAAGGGCTGCAAGAACTGCGGTTGAAGCTGGAATGGTGGTGGTGGTGGAAGCGGTGGTGGGGGTGTGGTGGATGATGTTGTTACAGTGTTCTGTTGGTGCGGTGGGAGATAGGACTCGTCTTGGTTTTGAAGCTTGGGTCTTTTCTCTGGTGGGTAGTCAACGGATGATAGAGTTTCTGTTACAGCAGGTGGGTTATTGTTTCCAATGAGGCCTTCGGAGGCTAAGGATGAGAGAACATAGGAGAGCATCTCGGCTGAGGAAGTTGAGGCAGTTAGCTTAGCTACCACTGCGGCAGCAGCAGTTTTTCTTGGGTCTCCAACTGTTTGAGTTGGGTTTGAAGCAAACATAACCGGTGCAGATTGTTCCACATCACTGTGTGTGAAGCTTTGTGGTGCTGCTACAGCGGATGAACCTTTGATGGCTTCTTTTGACTCTTCTTCTTCTGTAGCAGGAGGCCGTGAACTACCACTGTGGTCTAGAAGCTGTCTGCAGAGATCACCAGTTCGGTCTGATTGAAACCGTGCAATCTGAAATCGTAGCACGAAAGAAATCAATTTAACTAAATAGCATAAAGACAAGGCAACATTTTGTTTGGAAAAGTAACCAAGACCCCTATTTAGATTTGGGTCTAACTTCTCTGAAGAAACTCACTAAACAAGCTTGAAAGCTAGACTCGAGTGTCTCAGAAAGTGCTACTGATAACGTTGTGATGTGTGTGTAAATTGAAATGTATAAAATGTGTGAGGAACAGATATCACATTTGTTGGTAAGAATTCAAACCTGAAGGTGGTTACGGACTTGCTCCAGCTTGAGTTCCTGGACAAACACAAAAAAAAACAAGGTGAGGTTTCTGGCAGGTGCAATTAAAGATGCTTTTTTGTAAGAAGTTGTATAAATGTAAACCTGTTCTTGTAAAGCTTCTCTCAAATGTGAGACAAGACTTGTTCTGGATGTCTCCATTGCCCCTAGCTGTTCGATGCAGTCTCACAAGATCGAGTAACCGTTTAATAGATCTATAGAGAAATTCCTTCTTCTCTTTCTAGTCTAAGACCAGTGATTTGTAATTCCATCAGATCCTATGAATTATGTCTGAACTTTGTCTATCAAACCACAAGTGAAGAAACTGAAAGAAAATGGCTGAAGCAAACGTTCTAAAGCCAAATCTTCACGGATGAACCTAAAAAAGCAAACCAAAAGACTGTGCTTAGTGCTCACCTTTAGGCCATTCAGAGACAATTCTCTCCTTGAGCATTGAGACTGTGGCGGTTGGAGAGTACTGAAACGGGCCAACATCTGAACCGTCATATAACCGGAATTTAAGTTCTACCAAATCTTCCTCCGGCATTTGATTTATCTTTCTCCCACAATAAAACTCTCACAAGAAAGATTTCACCACAAAGAATCCACCCAAAATGAGACCTACAATAAGAGTACAGAGAGATTCTCAAATTCAAAGGATCAATAATGAAATTTTCAGTTATTGTCGAAGTCAAGAAGTTGGACCAAAGAACAAAACTATTCAGAGAAGACTAGTAATAAGAGCACAGTCAAAATTTAAAGGAATCAATTAAGAAATTTCAGTTATTGTCCAAATCAAGAACTTGGACCAAAGGAACAAGAAGAACAAGAAGCAATAAAAAATCAAAACTTGGAACTCATCTAAGCAACCTAAGCTCCTAAACCGTCACATAAAGTTAACACAAAACACACAAATCTTACCCGAAATAGAGACACTCAATCCAAATGTCAAAGTGTGCTAGGTCTTGCGTCTTGGGAGTGAGGAGAATCAAGAAGTAGGAGAGAAACCCTTAAAAGGGTAATGACCTAATCTTGAAGTGAAGCTGGTAAAATCCAGCTAAGAGATTGCTATCTGATTCTATAAAAATTTCTGATATATCTTTCGTCAGGATTGCCGCGTTACAGGGAATCCCTGACGAGTAAAAGAAATAGATAAAAAGACAAGAAAAATGTGGAAAAGTATGTTTCTTTATTAGTCAAAAGCAAAGCCTTGTCGGCGTTTTGACCAGAAGACTTCAAAACACGAGTTTAAAAAACTTGGTCCAATGTGACTCCCATCTATCGAATCTTCCAACAACAGTAAATTTCAGAACAAAAGAAAGGAAGTTTTTTCAACTGTTTACAGAGATGAAGCCTTTTGATTAGTAGACGTACGAACAATTAGAAAGCATACAAAGCACATTTTAAGAACGTAAAATCCTAATTATCAAAAGACCATTAAAACTATATTTAACAAAAAACCAAAAACCAAAAAAAACAAAAGCTGAGCTTTTTGCTATATTCACCCCCTATAACAGATTTACTCTACTGTCGAGTGACAGGTGTAATAGGCACTGATGAGTTAATGCCACAGAAACCATCTTGTCCCTGAAACTTCTGGTATGAATTCTCCGATGGAGCAGAGGTTGTTGAAAGTTGAGTGAGCCCAGGAACCCAAGGAGGACCTTGTTCTTGTTGTTGCTGCTGCTGTGTGGTTGCAGTAGTGGTGGCTATGCTGTAGTTGAATGGTGTGTGGTTTACAGGACCAGGAGGCTGTAAGGGCTGCAAGAACTGCGGTTGAAGCTGGAATGGTGGTGGTGGTGGAAGCGGTGGTGGGGGTGTGGTGGATGATGTTGTTACAGTGTTCTGTTGGTGCGGTGGGAGATAGGACTCGTCTTGGTTTTGAAGCTTGGGTCTTTTCTCTGGTGGGTAGTCAACGGATGATAGAGTTTCTGTTACAGCAGGTGGGTTATTGTTTCCAATGAGGCCTTCGGAGGCTAAGGATGAGAGAACATAGGAGAGCATCTCGGCTGAGGAAGTTGAGGCAGTTAGCTTAGCTACCACTGCGGCAGCAGCAGTTTTTCTTGGGTCTCCAACTGTTTGAGTTGGGTTTGAAGCAAACATAACCGGTGCAGATTGTTCCACATCACTGTGTGTGAAGCTTTGTGGTGCTGCTACAGCGGATGAACCTTTGATGGCTTCTTTTGACTCTTCTTCTTCTGTAGCAGGAGGCCGTGAACTACCACTGTGGTCTAGAAGCTGTCTGCAGAGATCACCAGTTCGGTCTGATTGAAACCGTGCAATCTGAAATCGTAGCACGAAAGAAATCAATTTAACTAAATAGCATAAAGACAAGGCAACATTTTGTTTGGAAAAGTAACCAAGACCCCTATTTAGATTTGGGTCTAACTTCTCTGAAGAAACTCACTAAACAAGCTTGAAAGCTAGACTCGAGTGTCTCAGAAAGTGCTACTGATAACGTTGTGATGTGTGTGTAAATTGAAATGTATAAAATGTGTGAGGAACAGATATCACATTTGTTGGTAAGAATTCAAACCTGAAGGTGGTTACGGACTTGCTCCAGCTTGAGTTCCTGGACAAACACAAAAAAAAACAAGGTGAGGTTTCTGGCAGGTGCAATTAAAGATGCTTTTTTGTAAGAAGTTGTATAAATGTAAACCTGTTCTTGTAAAGCTTCTCTCAAATGTGAGACAAGACTTGTTCTGGATGTCTCCATTGCCCCTAGCTGTTCGATGCAGTCTCTCAATATGGCATGTTGTCCCTGCAACTCCTTTACCACCGCTGGCCCGGGGGTGTGTCCTGTTTAAAGCAATGCTCAGGAAGTAAGATAGTGAAAAGAACTTCATATGATGCTTGAACAAGCCATGGATTTTCTCTATCCTAAAAGTAAAGAAGTGTGATATATCTACAAGTAGTTACTATAAAGACCAGTTCAACCAACTGTTGTAAATTTTCTTTGGGATCCAAAAGTAACCATAATGTGTCGGACTGGTTATTCTAGTTGGTAACTGGGGGTTTATAAATTTGTGGATTTTCTTCCTAATGGTTGAAGTAAGTTCTCTCACCACCATTAAATGATTTACCACAAAGATAGGCTGAAGAGTCCTATCAATTGGTTAGAGCCACCATGCAGATAGGAGGATTTTGGTTAGAATTATTTGGAAACACGAGAGGAGCATCATGGAAGTAAGAATCGGAAGTGTGGTGGTGTATTAAGATCACACATAGACCGGATAGACCAAATGAGTTGAGTTTTAGAACAAACAAATGTAGAAATCTACAGCTATGTAGCTTGTTACTTAATAAGAAATAAAAAAAAACATACTAATACATTTGCAGCAAAGTAGCAGCCAATGGACAGTAATACCTGAACTAAGATCTCTCTCAACTTCTTGTGTTGTTTTCTCAAGGTAACCAGTAGCATTAGTACATTTTCCAACAATAGCATCCTCATCAATTTGTACACCATGAAGAACTTCAACAGCAGACACTACTTTCTCTAGTGTAGATCCATTTGCCTGTCTCTGAGGAACAGACTGCAAAAATGACAGAGTTAATTATGTGGTTAGCATGGAAGACCTCGAAAGCAGAAACGAACACATAACACTGGACCTTAAATAATGGTAAGAAATTGCTTGTACAAAGTCTCAGACTTAGCATGGAAGAACTCAAAAGCAGAAATGAACACATAACACTGGACCTTAAATAATGGTAAGAAATTGCTTGTACAAAATCTCAGACTTACGAGCTTAAGTGGCACGAGATTTCCATTTCTGGTTCCATTTTCAGGCTGCCTTCCCAGAAGTTCTTCTTTAAGAATTTGTCCACGGGATCCAAAAACTTTCCTTTCTTCCCATATATTAACCTTGACGAGACAATTACAATAATAAGTAATGCAGTTCTCATGTCAAATTCCTTACATCATTTCAATAACTGGTATTTCTATGTTCATTAAAATCACAAACAAAGAGAAATTCAGAGAAAGTGGTTGATAAAAAGTTAACTTCACGTACCAATCGACGTGCAGATTTTCTTCCAAAGTCATCACCATTTTCAATCATATCACGAAGAGCATCAGGGAGTACTTTCCAGAACTCACCTACAAACTCCGCACCTTTTCGCCTGCTATTCTGCAAGATATCATTCGCGAGGTACAAGTATGCCAAACGTTGCTCACGTGGGGCACAATGAAACTGCCTACCCCATGTTTCTACAACATGCTTTGCCTTGTTCATGTGAAAGATACACCAATGTGATAAAGCTGTATAACGTCAAGGAATAGATACACCAGAACAGTATACAAGGAGAGAGCAAAACAACACATCACATGAGACTAATCAAAGGGAAACTATTTTACAATAAAAACAAGCTGGGAGAGTTGAGAAATTTATCCGAGTATATCAGACACCAATATCACAGAAACTCAAAATTGATATAAACTACATTTAGATATAATCTGCTTGAGAAGAGATACCAACACTCTCTCATCTATACCATTGTTACTCATTTACTTAGATACCAATTCTGTCTAGTCTTTTCAAAGCACCCATTTAACCATAGAAACCAATGATATTACAGAGCTTTACTACAATCAAAATTAGATATACAAAAATAAGTATATACAAAAAGAGGATACTCTCTATGCTTGCTTGAGAATTGTTGAGCTTGGCAAGCTTCTCAACTAATATCTGAGCGTTAAACGAACTACCCATTGCTTCAACACCAGCACAAAAACCAGTGTGCCTTCACAAATCTAAAGAGAAGCAAAGAAGATACAAGTCAAAAACCCTAGAGTCATCATCAATCGAAGCAATGGAAAAGAAAACAAAAAAGGTCAAAACTTTGAATATTATTAGAAACAATTGAGCATCACAAGACGAAAAGTCGATTCATTGGCTAACAAATTATGGAAAAAAGCTATGATTTTTCTACTACACAAGTACTAGCAGCACAAGTAATTCGTAAGAATAAGCAAGAACTAGACAATAGGACAAGGACGTGCATAAACAAGACTAGTTAGTGGCTTTAGACATCAAAGATTGTATAAACCCTAGAGTACTAGAGATAACCAGAGACCAATTTCAGTAGAAAGAAAATATGAAAACAACGAGCGCGAAGAGGAGATTACAGAGAGAATCAATCAGAAGAAGGAGATTGTTGCGATGAGGCTAACATTAGCAGTGAAGTGGGCAACGAAAATCACGGTGAAGAAAACGGCGCCGTTCTCCGATAATGTCTCCAAAACTCGCCGGAGAAGTTTGAGCAGTTTGGGAAATTTTGGAAATAATCTTCTTCGTCGTGGTTAGATTTGGATGAACCACCGGGGCGATTTCTTTTAAGTTTATGGGCCTAAGTCTCACTATTGGGGCAAAGCCCATATATTCTATAAAAGGACGCTGTACAATCTTATGGGCATTTCATAGTTTAGTGATAAAAGTTAAAACGATGTCGTTGAGGTATTTCCAAAGCTTCTCGGAAAGAGTTGAAAAGATTTTTAAATTTTATTTGCTTACCAGATTTTTGTGGACTATTGTTTTTGTTATTGTAAGATCAAAAATGATTGTTTTGAAGTTATTTTTTAAAATCTTATTTTAATGAGAAGTTGATGGTCTTTCTCATTATACATCATATTGGTCTTTTGTAACAACGGAGCTTTCAAATAATCTAGAAAACATTCAACAATGCAGATTTTATGACGAAATTCTCGTAAACTTTTCAACAATGCAGATTCTCATAATGCATAACAAAAAGCCATAATTCAAGATATTGTTCTAAACCGGTGAACTAAGTATGAGATTCTCTATAAATCACCAAGTATTATGGATCTACACTTTTTGCAATAAACCAAAAATCCCAATTACTCTTTTTCATTTTACAGCATATATTTACTCGAAAATATAACTAAAATAATTATCAAATCAAATATAAATACATTTTTGCCAAGAAAAGAAACCAGACGTATGTAGTGTACTATCCGGTGTACAGTCATCTAAGCGACTAGGGGTGAAGTTTTTACCGTATGTGGAGTGCGGATGATATCACCACCGGGAACGCGGACCAAATCGCGTCTCAGCTTGGAGTTGTATTAAGTGTTGAGTAACTACTCTGTTATAAGATGAACGTCTCCGCTTGGAGTTCTGATCATATTTTCTCTTATTAGATTCTTCCTTGTTTTTATCTTTTTTTGGCAAGGAACAATCTTTTGTATCACGACTATTGTAACTTCTACGATCTTTTCATCTATTGAAAATTCACATATTTATCAAAAGAAAAAGAAGATGAAATATTCAAACTCTACAGTTTTTGACTTTTTCTGCTGTTTCATTAGTTTCTGGTTTAGCATGATGTGAACTTGAATAAATCTCAATTTTGTGACAATTCAGTTATTGATTGAAGATATATAAACGTCAAATATAAATATTCATTTTTAATCAATTATCTCACTATATATTATAGAAAAATAACTAAATCTTATTAATATTGTATAAATAAAATTTACAATAAATTAAAATCATTAAAAACACAAATTATCATACTGTAAAAATATTGACAATTGTTAATCAATTTATTTTTTAGATTTGCGCTATATTTTCTGAATTATGAATTTGAAATAAAAAAATTGTGAATTGCGCTATACTACTTTTTGATATATTGGACGTATAATATTACAAACAATAATATAAAAGATAACTTGTATATGATTTCACCAAAATGTAAAGAAGAAACCCATATATATATCATAGATTCAAAACCTAGTATAATAAATAGTCTAGATGAAGCAATTGAAGTTATATACTGACCACATGTACATACTAAGAATGTTATTACTAGATAGATTTTTTGTAATTTCAAAATTTTGACATTCAACTATTTTTGGGTTATGAAGTTAAACATTCTTAGTAAAATATTGTTACTGGTTTGATGATATTTAAATTCCACTAAAAAAATATCTTCTTATTCGAAAAGTTTAGTTTTCTTTGTACTTTTATTAAAATCATGAGTACCACCTGTGCACCCAAAAAAAAAAAATATATTAAACGACGGCGTACTAAATTGATGGGTTTTTAACAGAATATAGTTAGGCCCAGTCTATACTTAAAACGATACCGTTTTATGTAGTTTAACTGCCACCGACACGAACGAATCCAAAACGGCGTCATGTTGATCGCATCCAAAGCTCTGATGTAAGAAACCCAACACTGCTTTGAGTTTCCCACGACGGAGAAGAAACGATGACGAAGAGATGAGACGCAGCGGAACAAGACGGAAGCGAAGAAACGATAAGAAAAAGATGAAACGCGGTGGAACAAGACGGAAGCGATTGTTCGGGAAGACGATTCTCTTATCATCCGTAGCTTTCTTCATCGGTTTTGGTTTGTTGTTGCTCACCCTCCGTTCGGTGGATCCTAATTCGTCTTTCATCGATGACGACGATGACGAGTCCGAATCCGAGGAAGCTGCGAGATGGAGCAATTCGTCTTCGATTGGAGATGCTATGGTCGATGGAGGTAGGCTCTGCGCGACGGTAGAAGAGATGGGAAGCGAGTTCGATGGTGGTTTCGTGGATCAAAGTCTCAAAGTTCGAGATGTTATCCGTCGCCATTTTCAAATCAATGGTGAGAAATTTCGTTTTTGAATCGAAATCTTGTTCGATGTGAATGTATAGATGATGATGAAAGTGATTCTTGTGGTTTATAGGAGCTTCAGCGATTCGTGAGCTACCTCCGGAGCAATTTTGTAGACATGGTTATGTTCTTGGGAAAACAGCAGAAGCTGGATTTGGAAACGAAATGTATAAGATCTTAACCTCAGCAGCGTTGAGCATAATGTTGAACAGATCCTTGATCATTGGCCAGACCAGGCATATATTGGTTCTTTCTCAATCCTTTTCTTTGATCAAGTTCCTGAAGTGTTGCTTTGTATTTGTCTTGTTTATATTTCTTTCTCTGTTCATTTTTTTTTTTAACTCAGGGGGAAATATCCTTTTGGTGATTACATTGCTTACTCAAATGCTACATTTACAATGAGTGAAGTGAAGCATTTGTGGCGACAAAATGGCTGCGTGAAGAAATACAAAAGGCGGCTTGTAATGAGATTGGATGATTTCGAGAAACCGACTAAGAGTAATGTCTTATGCAGTAATTGGAAGAAATGGGAAGAAGCTATTATATGGTCAGTTGACGAAGAAAAAACATAAAAGATACAACTTTGAATCCATTTCGTGAAGTTATAATCGTTACTGAGTCGAGTATTTGGTTTTCAGGTTTCAAGGCACGACAGATGCTGTGGCAGCTCAGTTTTTTCTCAAGAATGTGCATCCTGAGATGAGAGCTGCTGCATTTGAGCTATTTGGAGAGCAAGGAAACTCGGCACCACGAGGTAATGTGTTTGGAGAGTTGATGATGAGTCTTATATCTCCCACGAAAGATGTTAAAGAAGCAGTGGACTGGGTTCTACACGAGACTGGGGATCCTGATATTTCGGTGCACATGCGAATGTTGATGAGCAAGTATGTTAAAACGTGCATCTAAGTCTGTTTTTTTCTGTTGTTGTTGAGCTGGTTGACTAAATCTTCCTTTCATGATTTTCTCCAGATCTGTTAGACCTATGCGCGCAGCGATAAACTGTCTAGGGAAAGCAATTAACAGACTTGGCATATCGAACCCGAGAGTGGTTATAGTGTCTGACACTCCATCTGTAGTGAAAATTATCAAAACAAATATCAGCACCATTGCTGAGGTATCAATGATCTATTAAACTCGCACTCGCTCTAATCTTCCCAATAAATTCTTCAATTCCATTGGCTAAACTAAGTCAGTTGCAATGGTTTTCAGGTTCTACATTTTGATTATAAGCTTTTCCGAGGTGATATCGCTCAACGCGGCCGTGGATTACCAATGTTAGATTTCAGAATAAAGGATTGGGGTCCTGCACCGAGATGGGTTGCATTTGTAGATTTCTTCCTCGCTTGCCGTGCTAAACATGCGGTGATCTCTGGTGCTAACAGGCGAGTTGGGACTACTTATGCTCAGTTGGTTGCTGCGTTAGCCGCTGCAAACAGTCTCAGTTAAGATCTTATTTTCGTTTCATCGCACTTATTTTTCTTTTCTTTTGATCTGTCTTATTAACAATACTCCTTGACTGGTTAATTCACAGAGGATGGTTCGAGCAACTCAAGCTTTGCGTTCCTGAGTAGTTTCCAGAGCAATTTGTTAGCAGACGGTCTGAAGAACCAGGTAGGTTGGGGACATGTCTGGAACCGATACGCTGGACCGTTAAGCTGTCCAAAACAGCCAAACCAATGCGCCTTCACGCCGCTTGCACCTCCTGGTTGGTGGGACGGTTTGTGGCAATCACCCATCCAACGGGATACTCGTAGGCTTGCGGCTTTCGGCATTGAGCTTTCCGGCATTGGCACTGTTAACGAAGACCGGTTCCACGCCTATTGTAGTGCCAAGAAAGAGTACTTAAGCACTGTAACAATCATTTAATGACTTCAAAAAAATTATGGTATCTTGGTTAAATGTAGTCGCTGGTTTTATTTCTCAAATCTCTTTCCCTTTCTTGAATTGAACCGGCTTTCTTACCATGCTAAATAGCTAGACCCAAACCGAACTAACTAATTAAACCGAAATCAAGTAAATCCAGCTCATATAAGTAAGACCTCTGGTGTTATTTATTAGAAACAGAGTGGATTAAAGATGAGATCTTAGGTGGTAAGAGAGGAATAAAGCTGTTGTCAGACATTAAAGATGGAACATTATCTCGTGGAATCAAACTTTTCCTAATACAAAAAATTGATTCCCGGTTTGTGAAACTTCAATTTAATTACTACCAGTTGTAGATTGTTAATTTCATTATTTATTCTTCTCGTCGTTCGAAATTTGATACTAATATTGCAAGTAGGTTCAGGTATAAGTGAGAGTTTAAGATGGAAAAAACTAATTATGTAAGTAGTTATCGCAGAATATGCATTGTATAGGTAACAATTGCTAGCTATCTTGGTGTTAAACTTTTGTAATGAACAAAAATAATTAAATGAACTTTATAATTAGATTTGATAACTTATATATTAACTTCTCTTTCAAGATTTAATAATAATCATACATTCTCCAAATTTTAAGTGGTATGGTTCTATGACTCACATGAGTTAGGCGATGTATAAAATTAACCAGGACTAATGCCAGAATCTTAACCGATCGTTAAACGGTAAATTTAACCCGATCAACAACGTTAACCACCATTGAGCGTCTTCAAAGGCTTGGTAAAGCAGAAACAACTTTCGAATATGAACCTCCTCACACAGTGGATATAGAGAAAAACACGATCTAGACTCAATTGTGTTAGTTGTTTTCAGATGATGATGAGGACCAAAGCGAGAAGAAAATAGAGAGGGTGAAAAAACGAAGCTAAAAACATGTTTAAAGAGGAGGAGAACAAATCGAGTGAAAGAAAACTTTGGTCGCTCACATGGTCGTTGGTCAATTGCTGTTAACTTATAACGAGCAATCAGAGCACACTAACTAGAGAATAGAACGACAGTAAAATGAGAGAGGAAGAGGATTGTCGAGAAAGCGTAAGTGACACATAAATGTCTAATGACACTTTGATTCTCATGCACCATAATATATACATCTCTCTCACAAGTTATATGCAAAGCCAAATCTTGGTTTATTATCCAACTAGAGATCCTCATGATCACATTGACACTCAAAATTGCACCAAACAATTTTTGCAAATTCACACATACGTATAATAAGCTCATAATACACATTCTCATATGGATTTTAAGAAAAAATCACTGGATGAATATCCATATTTCATGTGACCCTTCGTTTAATTAGGCACATCATTACCAAACACCAACGATGAGTTTACTAAAAATGATTTCTATCTTGATTTTTTTCCGGTACTACGAGCTACTATACGTACAATAATTGTTAATACAGTTTTCCTCTCCTCTTTCCTTAGGTTTGTTACTAGAACTTTAAGTCTTTTATGCACAAAATAATAAGAAAGGAGTGAGGATACCCTTTGCAAGTAAATTGGCATTTGGGTTGTCCGCTAATCAAAACCTGATGATACACGATATTGATTAGTCCAGGAGTTTGAAATAATCTAATTATACTAAATCAACAGTCATTTTTTCAATAACTGATGCATTTACTGATTGACACATCAGCTTAGTACAATTTTCTTACTCTTTCTTTTTTACGGAAGATTTTGTTTATTCATAAATTATAATAAAAAAATAAAATATATTGTCGTTTTTATTAGTTTTTTTTTTCCTTCTCAAAACCCTATTCTCATTCATCCCCACGATCTCCACCTCTTCCACTTCTCCTCCTCCAAAATCTCCATGGCTACTATATGTATAAAATCTCAAGAATGGTCTTCTCATCATCATACATCGATTATTCTCAGAATTCAGTTACTTTTCCTCATCCCGAAGTTATCAATTTACCATCTCCAATTTCTGCTTTTAATTTTCTTATAGCTGATTCTTTAACAACAATTATATATGTAGATTTATTCTCCATAAATCTGTAAATCATATACCGTTCTTCTAGATTTCCATAGTTTGTGTATTTTTTTTTCTCTGTTTCTATTTAATCTAATTGCATTCCCTTGAAACTAAATCTCTTTGATTTTGATATTTAGGTTTTTTGAAGTAGAGACTAGAGCGCCTCATATATTTGAAGGTATATATCAAACTTCTAATGTTTCGAGATTTGGCATATCTCTTCGTTTTGTAGATATTGTTCAATATATTTCTTATCACGTCTTTGTTGGCTATTGATGTTGTTCAGAAAAAATACGTGAGAAATTAGGGAAGCTGGACACATAGAAGACATGGGCTTCGATTTTAAGGGTTACATGGAAAACATTTTTGGAAGAAAAACACTTCCACGGAGCAAATCGTGAAGGCGAAAAAGTAAAGACCGTGACCAATACAAGGTAATAAATTGTCATTTAGTTTTTCCTTTGATTTTCATAGAGTGATGATCACATTTTTTAATGCACATCAAGTGCTCGACATATTGACTGCTTCCTCATGCTGAGAAGTTTTGGCTCTTATCAAAAATATATCTAACATGTTACGTTCTTTTTTTTTCTATATCTGGTTCTCTTTTAATTTTGTTTGTGCTTGCTTTTTCTTAGACATCAAGAGAACAAAAAGGTTTGGCTTCTCAAGTCAAGGTTTCAAAAAAATTGAAATGTTATAAGATCCTATCAAACCAAGCTTGTATCATCAAACGACGGCTTCAAGTAAAAGGAAGTTTGCTAGCGTCATGTGGGATGGAACAAGACCACAACCAATATCTATTAGTATGCTCAAGTTTGTCGTCTACCACACATAATTTAATTGCTTCGTAATGACGATGCAACTTCATTGTTTTTTAAAACAAATGCATATGTTTGATATTATCAAAATATTTTAATACTATATGTTTACCCCTGCATAGCAGGGGGCATAATTCTAGTTACTCATATATTACACAAGTGAATTTCTCATATATGTTTTCACAGCCATTAAATTTCTACAAACCATGAAACATCTTATCTGATCGGATATTTTATGCCATAAAAAGCAAGTCGAATGCGTCTCCAAATTTGTCAGCCATTAGGGTATTTCCATTTTGAGGATAAACTTGTACGGGTTAAAAAACTTACAAAAAATATATGCAATCTAATGATAAGCCCTACTCATAAAATTCTTAGTAACCATATTATGCAGCGGGTAAGAAGCAAAACAAAGATTCAAGGATCAATGGATCAAGAAACTCTGTTTTGTGCTCTGAATTCTTTGTTAAAAACCGAAAGAATTCGAAGACTTCAAGTTCGAGGAAAGACCTCTTTCTTATTCAATAAACAACCAAGTTTTGAAGGAGACGATACATAGCCTTATATAGAAGAGGTCACAACCGACCTTGTAAATAATAAAACCCTAATCAAAAGCCCAAGTAACGTTTAGCAAGAAATAGAAATCGAATTAGAAAAGTAAAACCCAAAAGACTAAAATGGAAGAAACGAGTAGAGTCCAGAACTTGTAGAAGAAGTAAGTGATATGTCGCTACATCACCATAAAAAAATTTCCGATAATTATTAATATATATATTTTTTTAATATTATCGTATGTATTAATATTAATATTATCGTATATTAAATACTGTGAAATAAAAGTCGTATGTATTTCCGAATTAGGTTGGGAACTGTTTTATGTCTCAGACAGAGAACTTCGATAAAATCTTTTAACTTACATTGCATATATATATTGGCCTAAATTTTGCCATTACATGCGGTCTTCTCATTTTGAGGTTAAACCTAGTAAAAAACATCTTCTAAAATATATATTCAGCCCGATTACGTTTTATTCATATATGTTTTCATCGTCCGTTCATAAAATTATTGAGTTTTAGACATGGATTTATTTATCAGAATTTTGTCATTCTCAGCAGTTTTTGTATTTCACATATTTAACTTTTAATCAATGTTTCGTGATTTAAAATTATTTTGCACTAAAACCAACAAAACATTTCTTCATTGAATTCCAAAACCGTTGATAAAATTTGTTTTCACTACGTCTATTGTTCTGGACCTTTTTTTATTGCGTAACAAACATACCGTTATCATCTGTATTTAACTCGCGAGATTTTTTCTAATTTTTATTTTAAAAAGTAGTTTAAATTCATAATCCAACAGTTATCACAATAATAAATTAAAGGATAAACTTCCTATAAAACAATTAACATTGTAGATTATTACCCTCAAAGGCACAAACAATAAATAATTTTATGTCATAAGAACTTAGGAAAGAAGCAATTGGTGAGTAACGTACCATTTATATTGCACCCCTATGTTCTCTTTTGTTGATTACGTGTCTTTTCCTTCTATCAAAAACCCTTCAATCAAATCTTATCGTAATCCCCAAAATTTACAAAAACCTTCGAATTTTAATCTAAATCTCCTTCCTTATCAATTCCTTATCACCTCACAAAATTTCTCGTATTTTTGTAATCGATTTTTGATCGAATTATCCCCAAAACCTCGAATCTGTTGATCGTGTGTTTTGGGGATTTGTTTGATTCCTTCAAAGTTTTCATCTTTTTGATAACAAAACCGTTAAATTCTTTGTCATCGTGTGTGATCTCTTGAGCCCTATTGACAAACCATAGAGAGACAGAGAGAGTGTGTGTGTGTATCTTTGTTTATTGAGTGACACCAACAAAAAACGAGATCGTGTTTTGATTATTTTCCTTGAGGTTAATAACATGGCTTGTTGCTTGTGTTTTGGTCCCGGTCGGAAAATGAAGCTCCAAGACAATTCTGATAAGATATCCATACGTCACCAGGCTAACCAGCCATCCTCCTCTTCTGGTTCCTCTCACTTTCCTTTGATCCTTTATTATTTGTAGATTAATCTTGAGATTAGTCAATCTTTAATACCAGTGATTAGTTATAAATCTTGATCAAAAATCTCCATTTTCTTTTAAATAGCTTATTAAGTATTTGTCTTGTGATTAGTCTATATGAATCGTATAAATCTCGGCTTAGGGTTTGTGTTTAATAGTTCAAAGATTTGTTTATTTGGTTGATCAATAATGTCTCTTTGATCTACTTGTGTTGTTTTGTTCCTGTGTAGCCCAACCAGCTGCAACAGCAGCAATAGCTTCGTCAAGTTCACAAACAGTAGTGCAAGATTCTGCTAGATACAGATGTCAGATTTTCTCATACCGAGAACTCGCCATTGCGACTAACAGCTTCAGGGAAGAATCTTTGATCGGAAGAGGTGGATTCGGAGCTGTGTATAAAGGAAGGCTAAACAATGGAAAGGTAATCTATAACCTTTGGACTAATCAATTCAATAATCTTGTGGGGTGTCTCTTGTCGTTGCGAAATCTCTGAACTGTGTTTGTTTTTGTGCTTTGTTGTTGGTCTTAATTCAAGAACATAGCTGTTAAAGTGCTTGATCAGTCTGGTGTTCAAGGAGACAAAGAGTTTCTTGTGGAAGTCCTAATGCTCTCTCTCTTGCACCACCAAAACCTCGTGCATTTGTTCGGTTATTGCGCTGAAGGCGATCAAAGACTCCTTGTCTATGAATACATGCCTCTTGGATCTGTAGAAGATCATCTTTACGGTAAATAAAACCAAAACCTCAAACCAAGAAATATTCAAGAACGAGATTCATTAAAGTTTTTTTAATTCTTGTTTTGTTTTGTCAGATCTTAGCGATGGTCAAGAGGCTTTAGATTGGAACACAAGGATGCAGATAGCCCTAGGAGCGGCTAAAGGGTTAGCGTTTCTTCACAATGAAGCAAAACCTGCGGTGATATACAGAGATTTGAAAACTTCAAACATATTGTTGGATCATGAATATAAACCGAAGCTCTCTGATTTTGGACTTGCTAAGTTTGGTCCTAGTGGTGATATGTCTCATGTCTCTACTAGAGTTATGGGAACTCAAGGGTATTGTGCACCAGAGTACGCGAACACCGGGAAATTGACGCTGAAATCTGATATTTATAGCCTTGGAGTTGTGATGTTGGAGCTTATCAGTGGACGCAAAGCTCTTTTGCCAACATCCGAATGCGTTGGTAATCAAAGTCGCTATCTTGTGCATTGGGTAATCCTCTGAACCTTATTTTTCTTAAGAATGGATTTTTTTTTCTTATGACCATTTATAGGCTTTGCTTCTTTTAGACTAAGCAGATTATCTAAAATACAATTTTGCTTTAGAGAAAGATTGTTTTGATGGTGACCTTTTGGTCGATTTTGCATTATATCGTTTAGGGTATAGAGTTTAGGTTTTAGGGTTGCACCATAGGTTTTGATTTCGGGTATGCTAACTGAAAAAGAGTTTCTGTGTTATGGCCCTTAATGATATGTAATACGTATTAAGTAGACTAATGAATGTTCTGATTTTGATGACAACCGTTTTTATGTGTTACTTTTTTTCTTAATAGGCACGAACATTGTGGGTGGATGGCAAAATAATGCAGATTGTAGATCCAATGTTATTAACAAAAGGCGGTCTCTCGAGTATCGTTGTTTATAGAAGTATTGAAGTGGCTATGAAGTGTCTAACGGAAGAAGCAAACGCTAGACCATTGATCAGCGAGGTCGTGGACTCTCTAAGATATATCGTTGATCACAGAATGAGGAAAGAAAGGAGCAGGCTTAGACGAGAAGGAAATATGGATGGGGCGGGGACATCGAGCTCACCGGATGAGACGAGAAGGTTGTTTAATGTTAGAGAAGAAGGAGAAAGTCCTGAAGAAGCTATTGAGAGAAGGAGACTAGTCGTGGATGATGCTCTTACTTGGGCCGGCGTGAATCGGCCGAGAGGGACTACGCCACCAACGCCGAGTCCATGAAAGTGAAGAAACTTTTTTATTTAATTGTTTTTCAAGTTATATTTGGTTCAGTTTGTTGTTGGTCATTTGGTGAGACTATTGTTAGAAAATAACTTTTATTAAACATTTATAGATAGTAATCTAGTTAATACTAGATTTATGTTTATTATTATGTTACTAAGATCACATTTAGTTCTTGATGTAAAAATCAATACCAACATTGATCTTACTATAGCTGACGAACCTGCTGATCGACTTGCTGAACGACCTGCTGAGGGATTCGCTGAAGGACTTTCTGATGGACTTCCTGAAGTACTTTTTATATCACGCCAGCTTGTGCCAATTAAGGAAAGTTACCATTTCTTTCCCTTGTGTGCGTCTCAAAGTCATATATGGAAGCCTGGAGATATTCTAAATCATCTAGAAAGTGTCCTACACAACCTTAGCTACATCTTCCCACACAAGAATCCGATGAGCCATAACTTTCCTTTTCCGGAACCGAATGAGATCAAATCACAACGGCTCTATTCTGATAATCTTTGGCGCATCCAAAAGATTCCTACAATGAATATGGACGTCCCAAAACAGCATCATTACTTGCCCAAGTTATCAAGACTCAAGATGCATCACAACTTTCCATATTTGGCCGATTTCTTCATTCAATTTCCAACGGGCATATTTTCATTTATTGTTGCGATTTCTTTCTTTGTTTTAGCATATAGACGTTGTACTTGAGCCCCTATATCAGTTCAACCTTGTTTTCATTTGTATTCACCCATCATCTAAGAATTAATCAGAAAAGTATTATCTTTCAAAGTTTGTCTTTGAGTTTTATGCATTAGAAATTAGTGTGGATTCACTAAAGTCTTGTGTATGTGTGGATCAATTAGCTTGTGGATTCAAGTTGATTTGTTCGTGGTTTGATTGTGGATTCAATCAAGCGTGTTGAGTGTGGATTCATTCGACAAAACCTCCATCTTTCATCTCTACCATCGTCCATTGAATCATTCAAAGCCGTAAGCCGAGAGACCGAGAAACGTAAACCCTAGGTGGACTCCGAGGTTTGCATCAGTTCTTACAAATATCATGTGTTTTAATCTCTGTTTAAAAATCTCCGCCTAACTCTGATTACCCCCCTTAAAGAAATCAGCCACCCGATTACTCTCCATCTAGTCCGATTATTTCCTGCCTAATCCGAATAGCCCCCGCTTAATCTTACATATCCCACTTATTTTTAGATTGCAAGTATAAAACAACTTTTATTTTTGTTATTTAAACATTTGAATTGGGAGTTTGTGATATTTTACAATAATTTATGTTTAAATTTTAATAAAAATCATAAGAAATTTTTCTTTAAAATATATTTTTATGTGTTTATTACAATTTTGAAAACAATATTAGATTGATATGTTTTAAAAATATTAAAATAACTCTAAACTAGTCTCTAATTAATCTCCGATTATTTCGATTTTCCGATTAATCGCTAGGTCCATACCGAATATCCGACTAGCGTCTAGCGATTTTTTGAATATATATAAATATCAGGTTCAGTAAATCATAAAAAAAAATTTATGTTATGAAAAATGTATTTAAAAATTGAATGAACATATATAGTTAGGCCCACTTGGGTAAATTCAGATTTTCAAGGCTGAAAGAATATTTTGTTATATAGAGAAGGTTGAGTCCATCATAACCCAAATGTTGCCTGTCATCATTTTTTCTTTCTACCTTTTCCCCTCGAGATTTAAAAAGATATAATCACTCACTGTTCTTTTTGTAACCAAAAAACTAATTTTTGACTGCGTTTACTAAGTGACAAACCAATGAAATAAAGACACGTCAGCTATCTGTCAACATAAGAAAGATAGACTAAAAAAACGACGGTCACAGTTTCTCTGTTTTTTAGTTATATAATTTTTTTTTTTGTTTGAGAAGACAAAAAAAAAAAAAGTGGGGGAAGGAACCCACCATTGAAATTGGGGGAAGAAGAGGGCAAAGGCAAAAAAAAAAAAAACCCTTCTTTTTCGCTGGCTTACTCGTGCCCTTGTCGGCTTACTTCGCCGGGAATCTGAATTATCCTTTCGCCGGAGACTTTACCCTTCTTCTTCTTCTTCTTCTTCTTCCTTTTTTGGGTTTGTGAAGAAACGGTTTATAAAGCTCAGGTCTTGGTGACGCCGTCGTGAGATTGAAGTAGTAGAAATTGAGGTTGAGAGATGTATGTAGTGCCTCCTCCTCAGCGATCTGATTCTGGATCGAATGGTGATTTAAGGGTTTACCAAACTTGGAAAGGCAGCAATGTGAGTTTTTTTTTTTTCTTGAGTTGGGTTTTTTGTTTTTGTGGTTTTTGTTCTTCTTCGAGCTTGATATGCTTCATTACCCTTCCCCTTTTCTACTTATTGCTTAGTCTATTAAATTAGATTAACTATGTCTCAATTTCAACCTAATTCAAATTGGAACTTTATTAAGGCTTTAGGAGAATCTAGCTAGTGCGTTTTCGAGTATCATAGATTTTGGTGTCGTTTTCGTACGTTGCTTTAGATGCTTTTGAGCTGAACAAGGCATTTTAACTTTATCTAAATATAGCTCAATTATGGATTGAGTTACTTTGGACAGACATGTTTGTCATTTGAGATTATATATATAGTTGATGCTTGTGTGTGTATAAGGAGGTTTTGAATAACCTTCTCTTTGTAATTTGTATTGCTTCAAGACATCAGCTAGAGACTCTGAATACTTCTTGATTGTTTCCTTACTCTGAGTACTGATTGAGACTTGTGTGATGTACTGATTCAACAGTCCATTGGTGAAATGTTTTCCTAGATGATTTTTGTTATTGGGGAATGCTTTGTTCTCGAAAGTTGCTCTACTCGAGTGTTGTTAACTTCACGTATTTTTCCGTTTGATTTTTTTGCAGATATTCTTTCTTCAGGGAAGGTTTGTATTTGGGCCAGATGTAAGATCACTGGCGCTGACCATTTGTCTCATTGCTGTCCCTGTTACAATTTTCTGCATCTTTGTTGCAAGGAAGCTAATTGATGACTTCTCCGATAGCTGGGGAGTATCAATAGTAGCTGTCGCCGTCGTGTTCACCATTTATGTAAGTAAAGTTTTTTCTTTGTCGCTTGGGATAAACAGATGTTCTCTATAGCTGATGCTTTCATTTTGTATCCACCAAGTTTTTGATTCCCTTATGATTCGGTTTCTTTCCTCAGGATTTAATTCTTCTGCTGCTTACATCCGGAAGAGATCCAGGTATTATCCCAAGAAATGCTCATCCTCCAGAGCCTGAAGCCCTTGATGGAAACATGGATGCAGGGGCTGGCCAGACTCCACAGCTGCGACTGCCTCGCATTAAGGAAGTAGAGCTTAATGGAATCACGTTTAAGGTCAAGTACTGTGACACTTGCATGCTCTACAGGCCCCCTCGCTGCTCGCATTGCTCAATTTGCAACAATTGCGTAGAAAGGTTTGACCATCACTGCCCTTGGGTTGGCCAATGTATTGGGATGGTAAGTCACAATCCAACTGATCACGTGTTTAAGCTATCCACATAAACCATAATTCCCTAAACATCATCTCATTTTCTGGTGGTTGTTGCAGAGGAACTACCGATTCTTCTTCATGTTTGTCTTCTCCACGACCCTTCTCTGTATATATGTGTTTGCCTTCTGCTGGGTCTATATAAGAAAGATTATGGAATCAGAGCACACAACCACTTGGAAGGCAATGCTTAAAACTCCTGCCTCCATTGTTCTAATAATCTACACATTCATATCAATGTGGTTTGTTGGTGGCTTAACAGTTTTCCATTTATATCTCATCAGCACGAACCAGGTATGCTGCTACCATCCAATCCCCATCCTCTCTTCAGGAATCACGGAATCTCTGTAATCATTGATTTCTCTTTGTTCTTGCAGACTACATACGAGAATTTCCGATACAGATATGATCGCCGAAGCAACCCACATAACAAGGGAGTGGTTAATAACTTCAAAGAAACATTTTTTTCCACAATCCCTCCTTCAAAGAACGACTTTAGAGCTATGGTCCAGCGTGAACCTCCATTGCCTCCTAGATCTGTAGCAGGTGGTTTTATGAGTCCAAACATGGGTAAAGCCAATGATGAGATTGAAATGGGAAGGAAGGCTGTTTGGGCAGACATGGGTCCAGCAATGTCAGATCATGGTGACGGTAAACATGGTAACAATGAGCGGTTACATGTTAAGGACGGTGACTTAGGCGAGCTATCTCCAGACATTAGGACAACAGTTGATGAACAGAGTGATAGGCCAGGTATGCACCCGAGACGCTCAAGCTGGGGAAGGAAAAGCGGAAGCTGGGACATGTCACCAGAAGTTATGGCCTTAGCAGCCAGAGTAGGAGAACAAAACCAGAACGGTGGAGGAAGCAGCAGCGGAAGCGGTTTAGTGACTGAGAACCGACCTACATAATTGAATACACGGTTTAGCACGGAAGGAAGAAAGAACATAGCTGAAGTTCGGTATGGTGAATACAGGTTTAGAGAAAATCTGAGGAGAGTTTCTTTTTCTTTTCTTTTTCAAATGTGTTTTTTTTAAGGATTATTCAGCTTATAATCAGTCATGTGGTTTGTGGTTTATGGAGAGGAAGAACTTGCTAATGTTCTTAATGTGGAAAGTGTTTGTGTTGGGTTTGGTTGGGCTTTGTTGTGGTAAAGCAAAGGTTGAATTGGTGTGTTGTTTGTATGAGTGAGCTTTCTTCTGGATTTGTTTTTTTCTTCTTCTTTTCTTTTAATTGTGTTAATAAATTTAACCAGAGATCTATGCTTTTAAGGTAGAGGAGAGAAAAGTTAGATAAAAACAAAAAAGTTTCTCTGTTATTATCATTTATCAAGAAGCTGAAACTGAATTATCAAAGACATGTGGACCAAAAGACAGAACATTTTTATAGTTGTTCATTGAAGCATGGCTCTCCACTTATTGCATAAGAGCCCTAATGTTTAATTTATTTTGCCTCTAAATTAATTTAATTTGTTTTTGTTTGATGGGCAATGTCACAGAAGAAGTGTGTATTAAGGTCTCTGCTGAGTCAAAGATATAGTCAAGAATATGTCCAAATCAATAATTAAAGCCTTGAATTATAGAGTTTAAACTAATTTTCTGGAAATCTAAGCTTGTCAAACAAACATCAGATCATAAAGACAGGATCTTAAAAAGAGTTGATAAGATTTTCATCAGTGCTATATATAAAACTAATATCTATTTATATAACATGGACCATAGTTCAATTGAAATGTCACTATTATCATTTAGTAGCCTCTGCTCCTCTTTATTAGGAACCTTACTTGTGATAGAACCACCATGTGAGAGAGCTCTAAAACCTCTGAAACTATTCTTTTCATCTTTATCTTTCTGTCTTCTAAATTCACTTTCAACATCAGAGAGCCCTAATCTTTTTTTTTACTCATTACTCCAAAAACCTTCAATGGCAACTTAACCAAGTGAGTTTGTTGTATTTTTGCTACTTCTCTCTCTTTCTTGAACACTGTAGAGTCTTAAGGTCCATTACATGATAGAGACAAGCTCTTCTGTTTATTTATAAAGAGACACCAAATCTTAAATACCAATTTAAGCAGGTGGGTTTCCTTTTGTCTTCTCTTTAAACACTCACCAGCTTTTCAATTTTAGGATAAAGTAGGAGTTTCAAATTCTGTTGCTCTTTACTCTTTTTCTCAGTCTCTCTGCTTTTTGTCATAGGCCAAAAGATGTATAAGAATCAGTTGCAAGAGCTTGCACAGAGAAGTTGTTTCAATCTCCCATCATATACATGCACAAGAGAAGGACCTGATCATGCTCCAAGATTCAAAGCTAGTGTAAACTTTAATGGTGAGATATTTGAAAGCCCAACTTATTGTTCTACTCTCAGACAAGCTGAACATTCAGCTGCTGAAGTTGCTCTTAGTGCTCTCTCTTCCAAGGGTCCTTCAAAGTCTCTAACTGCTAGAGTTCTAGTAAGTCTTAATCTCCTCAAAAGCATGCAAAGTTATTTCTCATATGTTTTTAAAGTCTAATGATGTTTGGTTGTTTCTCTAAGGATGAGACTGGGATCTACAAGAATCTGCTTCAAGAGACAGCACATAGAGCTGGTCTTGATCTACCGGTTTACACAAGTGTGAGATCAGGACCTGGTCACATCCCAACGTTCTCTTGTACTGTGGAGCTTGCTGGAATGAGTTTTAATGGAGAATCAGCAAAGACTAAGAAGCAAGCTGAGAAGAATGCAGCCATTGCAGCTTGGTTCTCCTTGAGAAAAAGTACCTCCAAACTCCAAACTTTCTACTCAAATCTTATTGGTGATGTCTCTAATTTCACACTTTTTTACACAGTGCCAAGCTTGGACCCATTGAGAGGTGAAGAGAAGGAACAAGAGGTAGTTGCAAGAGTGCTCTCAAGATTTAGACCCAAAGAAGTGAAAAGAAGAGAACCAAACCAGTCAAGAAGAAGAACAGTCATCAGAACAATTCGCCAAAACACAACAACAACCACAAGAGACTTGTTGTGTGAGAAACTCAGATCCATCAATCTATATACCAACGAAGCTTCATCATCATCACTACCACCACAGAGATTCTGGCCTTCAAGAACAAATCTCCCACAACAACAATCCAAAGTCAAATCATTGCTAGAGAAATGTCAAGAATACGCAGAGAAGAAACAGAGCCTAGAGAATCCAAAACCAGAGATGATAATCAAAACATCATCATCATCATCATCAGTGGAGAGAAACTGCTATAGTAGTAAGCTATTACCCATTTCAAGTTTTGGGTTAAACAATCAGAAACTAGCTCCAGCTGTTCACATAAGATCAGTGATCCCAGTTTGTTCAGCTCCTCCACCAAAACCTAATCCTAACCCTAATCCATCACCGTCCACCACAAGGGAGCTGGGACATGGAGTCCAAGAGAAGAAGTCATTATCGAATTAGGATTAGAAACAAAATCTGGATCAAACCCATGATTAAAGGTTGTGTCTTTAGATAAACCCATGTTAAGGATATGATTATAGAGAGATTAGAGAAATGGGTAAAATCAAAATCAGGTCATGGGTTTCTGTATGTTCGTCGTGTAAATTTGACTTTTTTGAATTTTACGATCTGACATGAAATCAATGTTTCTGAATTGCACGTAGAACAAAAAAAAAAGAAAGAGAGAGTCAGAGAGAGAGAGAGAAGAGAGAAGAGCAATAAATGAGTGGGGAAGAAGGAGAATTAATGGCATTTGTTTTTCGCCATTAATGCGCCGATTGCTCTGCTTCTCCTCCCTCCTTCATTCATTAATTGGCTCTGTTACTTCTGTTTTTTTTTCTACATAATTTGCTCTTGTCGTTTTAAAAAACTAAAAAAAACGATTTAATTCAAAATATCAAAAAAGCTTTTCTCAAAACAAAATTGTTACAGAAAGTTTCAAAAGCAAGAGAACATATGTTGTTTTTTACCAACACAAAATCAACATTTTGTTTTTAAAAATATACGACTGTATCAAAAACTCAAATATATATAAGTTTTTTTTTTTTCTCAAAAAGTCATTATTTTTGTATCGAAATTAGTATAGAAATTATATAATTTTTTTTTTGAACACAAAATAGAATTTCTCAAAAAAAATTTAGCAACTAGTAAAATACTCTATTTGTAAGAAAATGAGAAAATAAATGTTAGATTAGTAGTGTTAATTGGAGAGGACATAACCCCCTTGGGACCTTGGCCAAGCCAATTAAGTGAAGATTAATTTTTTTTTTAACATCCAAGTGAAGATTATTAATTAGTACTTTATTTTCTGTATTTTTGGGTTGTTCTAGTTATGTTGAACCGAACTACACCTCTAAATTGAAAACAATATTCTTATGGTATTTATTATTCAAAATCATTACACATGAACCTAAAGTTTTTACTACAAAACTTAGGTGAGAGAGTATGTTACAAAACAAGATTTATCGAAATAAAAGTAGAATTTTTCCGAAATTTATCTTGGTATTAACTTCTTTACATAAATCTGAATCAGAACTGTGAAACCAAAATAATTATAGAAATTTCTTGTGATCTAAGATACATTGAACACATGCAAAACCAGACAAAGCGGCCACTCATTTGGTAATGGTTCATACATACATTCCGGTTTATATGAGGAGCAGAGGATGTACTATACTCTGTTTAAATTATCTGAATCGGTTTACTACAAAACATTTCTCCGTTTTGTGTGAACCTAAAAGGTTTTGGGTTTTTCTAGACCTTTTTTCTATCTTGTAATGATGATAATTAATGGTTTTGCTATGAAAAGATATGGAAGAAATAACAAACTAAAAAGGTATTTTTTTGGTTCTCTCTAATTTTAGTTAAGAGACAATTCAAAGGTTAAGAATCTCCCATTAAATTCGTGGTTCTCGAATCTCCCATCTAAGAAAAATGATTTGACTTTCTTTTTTCTAGTGTCAATGGACGTTATCTTCCTCTAACTACATTTTTTTTTGGTCTTTTTGACTTTGCTCCGGCTTTTCCTACAACATGGGTTGTGGTGTTTCAAGGCCGGAGACAGATGAAGGACAAGAAGAAGGATATCGGCGAGGATCTATCGGTAAAGATAGCGAAACTGCCGATAGTTTCATATCCGATAAAGAGCTTCTTGAGATATCTACACATAGTAAAGATTCCAAAACTAGTGGCGAAAAGACGAGTAAAGAGGAGGAAAATGAATGGAAAGAAGATGAAGAAGAGAAAGGAGATGAGCTAAAAATTTCACCTGAATCTCCGAGTTTTCGAATTTATTGCGTTTTCCCTAGAGATCCTAATGATGACAGTTAAGTTTGTTTGTTTACTAATTTTGGGTAAGAACTAAACTACATTTGATTAATATTAATACAATTGTTATATTTGTAGACCTCGTTGATGATTTGCAACGGAACAAGAACATATCAGACGAAAACAAGGTATATATATATTATAGCAAATGCAAACACGAAATTTGAATGCTTGAAAAGTTGAGTTTGGTAAAATAATCAAACATACTCGGATACAAACTTCATATGCATGCAACATTTTGTTTTCTGTTTGCATTTTTTGCATGTCTAACGCGCTAACGCTTTTATGTTCTTGATTAAGGAGCAGAAAGGGAAGAGGCAAGAAGCAGTAGGAATGAAAATAAGAAGAAGATTTAACAATGTCAAGAAGCTTCTAACCCCTCCAACTGTACCTTCCTCCACAGCTAATCGCGGTTGATTTAATAGGGTTTTAAATTCATCATATTAAACTAATTGAGGTTTAGAGTGAAACTGTGGGGGATATGATGTGTTAGTGGCCAGAAGCTTTTGATTACTTCTCTATTTTTTACCATTCTTAGACTCTTACTCATCCAAATGTGTTTTCTACAATTACTCATCAAATGACAACGTACGTGGATTTGAACTCTAACATCTAAAACAGATATAAATCCATAGAAATCAGCTGAACTAAAAGCATAATGAACGTTACTTGTGAGCACGAAGACCCTCCTAAAGTATTATATGTTCCACCATTTGAATTGAATTTGACATGAATTTGTATCCTTGAGAACACTTATCAAATCCTTGACCACCAAAAGCCTCGCTTCAGAACCGATGGAGTTTGAGGAGAAAGTAGCTGTCTTCAAATGATTTGTGTTACTTAGGATGTATTTTGCCACTTCAATCCCATCTTCTTGTTCCCATTTGTAGCCTTCCCACATGAATGTTTCGAGATGAAGCAACAAGCATTCGGGAACATTCTTTGGCCGAATCCATTCATCACGAGCCACAAGATCAGTTCTCCAAAACATCTTCATGAAACCAGTGAGGGGGAAACCACATTGCATGTTATTATAAGATCAGAAAACCTGGAACCAAGCTGGAAATATTGCTGACATATGAACATTGCTTACATCGATGAGCTTGAGGACTTGCAATTTAGGAGATCTTTCAAGCATGAGGGTAAGAAGATTCCACAATGCTTCGTTATATGTATAAAGCTCCAAATATACCAGCTGGTAGAAGATGCTACCGGTAGGAAACTTAATCTAAACACTTGACAATATTAGTATAGAAACAATGTAATATTATCTCAATTGATTGCAAGTTTTACCTTCAAGGGTGATAAAGCCAAGGAAAGACGTCTCACTGAAGTTAGAGGTCCCATCTGAATGTTCTCATTGATTATATGATTAGGGCACTCAACTATGATATTTGCCTCCACCAACTCCGGTACGTTCTCAATGAGACAAGAGTCAAGACTCTTAAACCCTACAATCTTCAGGTATTTTAAAGAAGGAGCATTTATCACATACCTACAAATCTGTCCACCATAGCCATTACGAATTGATATTCTCTGTAAGGATGGCACCGCAATAGTGAAAGTTTTCAAACTTGAAATTGTATCCACCTTCAAATTTTGAAGATTAGGGCAGCCAGATAAAAGCTTAAGAACGGATTCATCGTCTTTGAAGTTCACATCTTGAAGGTGCAGAGTTATAAGAGATTTCAGATACATTGTGGAAGGGACATCCATAGTAGCCCAAGTCCTGAGTTTCAAAGTCTCAAGTGTTTCACAGTTATACAAGCTTGTAGGAAATATGAACGACCCTTTGGGAGAGTAAACTTCGAGTTTTAACTCACGGATATATCGGGTTAATGCAATTCCAATCAAGATTCCAGTATCCACTGCATCATTACATCCATTTAAACGAACCTTGAGTTTAAAACTCTGTAGAACTAGAGCTTTATGTGAAAGCAAAGACCTGCAAACATTCCCGAGTTGAATTTTGTGACGAAAAGAATCGAACTTGAGTTTAGGCAGCATCTTCCAAAGAGACTGCCATTGTTTAGACAAAACACTCGTGGCTATGGCATCTTCTGTAGGAAGCAGAGACAATATCTGAAGAATCAAAGCTTCAGGCAACCCACTGATCCTGTCCTCTTTCACAACACCTTGATTATTCATATTCTCACCACTCTTTTGCTGTCAAAATCCATAATGAAACAACAACAAAAGATGAGTTGGTTTTGAGTGAGTTTTGGAGCTTCTATATAGTTATGAAACCCTAAAACAGACAAAGAAACTAACCATCCTTTCATTGGAGAATTATTCTGTTAAATCCTTATGTTCTTATGCCTTCGCGATTTCTTAAAACGCTTTTTTCGATCTCTTGACGCAGACACAGTGAATGTTGAATTCGAATGTAGAATCGGGGTTTCGGAGGACGAGACTGCGGCTGAGAGGATGGTTCTTTAAAAAAAACTAATGCCGTATCTATTTATAAGCCACATTATTTTAGTGATATATATATTATAATTACAAAAAGCAAGTAAATTCTTTGGCAGCAATTCCTTTGGCTTGTTAAGAGCTTGAATGATCTCTATAAACTCCATTTTCTTTTCAAGCTGTAATTTCCCATCTACATGGTTAAATCACTCATTGAATAATAAATAAATAAAAATTTCATCGAAAAAACAATCCCTAGATAGCCAATTGAAGTAACATCATAGTAAAAGTGATTTGTGAAACAGCCAAGACTCTTTTACTCATAAAAAAAATTCTCTTGATCAGAAGAAGCTGACATGATTAACTCGAAACCCTAACCACACTTTCCAACTCCTCAAGAATCTCAAGTCCCTCGTCCGAGGTAAGGCCTTTTACGGATAAAGTTGCTTTCTACAAACTGTTTCATTTGAACAGAAGCTGGCATGAATTTGAAGCCCTGATCACACTTTCAAAATCCTTGATTATCTCAAGCCTATCTTCAGAACTCATGCCTTTTGAGAAGAAAGTTGCTCTCTTCAAATGTTTTGAGTTCCTCAGAATGTATTTGGCGACTTCTTTCTCCCATTTGTAGTAGTTTCCTTCCCACATGAATGTTTCAAGATGAAACAATAAACATTCAGGGACGTTATTTGGTTGATTCCATTCTATGTCTGCCACAAAATCGTTTCTACAATCCATGTGCTGAGACCAATGAAGGGGAAAACACAATGTTTCTTGTTATTAGATCAACAAGCCTAAAACTGAATGGGAAAATAGTTACTGACAGATGTACATTGCTTACATCGATGAGCTTGAGGACTTGCAAATTGGGAGAAGTATGAAGCATGAGGCTAAGTAGATTATACCACGCTTCTTTATTTGTATGTAGCTCCAAAGATACCAGCTGGTAGAAGATGCTACCAGTAGGAAACTTAATCTATACAGGAACAACATTAGTACATAAACAGTTTCATAGCAACTAAATTAATAGCAAGAAAACCTGAAAATTTACCTTCAAGGGTGATAATTCTAAGGAAAGACGTCTAACTGAAGTTAGAGATAGCAAAAGGTTCTCATTGATTTCACGAGAGGAAACACTGATAGTTGCCTCCACTAGCTTCTTCACGTTCTCAATCAAACAAAATCCAACACCAAGACCACAAATATCAATCTCCAAGTATTTCAAAGAAGGAGCATTTATCACATACCCCGCAAACGGGTCACCACTGCAAGTATAAATTCTTAGCCTCTGTAAGGATGGAACTGCAATAGTGAATGTCTTCACACTGCTGTATCGTATTCCATGCACTTCCAAATTTTCGAGACTAGGGCAGCCAGATAAAAGGTTAAGAAATGATTCATCATCTTTGAAGTCCACAAAGACTAGCTGCAGAGTTCTAAGAGATTTCAAACAAATTGTTGAAGGGACATTTATATGAACATCAAACTCGAGTTTCAAAGTCTCTAGTGTTTCACAGTTATACAAGCATCTAGGAAATCTGAACTCTTCCCCATAATTATATTGAACTCTAAGTGCCAGCTCACGTACATTGCGGGAAACTGCCCTGCCAATCAATATTCCAGTATCCATTGCGTTACATTCGTCTAAACAAATTGTGAGATGCAAACTCTGTAGAACCGGAGCCTTGTGCGAAAGCAAATTCCTGCAAACGTCCTTTGAAAATGTACCGATTTCATTGCTGTGATAGTATGCTTCGTAAGAGTTAAACTTGAGATTAGGCAGCATCTTCCAATGAGACTGCCATTGTTTAGACAAAACACTGGTGGCTATAGCATCTTTTGTAGTCAGTAGAGACAATATCTCCAGAATCAAAGCTTCAGGCAACTTACTGATTCGGTCGTCACCATCTGTTTTGCTGTCAAACACCAAAACCAAACAACAAAAGACACGTACCAGTTGGTTTTGAGTTTTGGAGATTACAGAATATAAAGATACAAACCCTAAAACATACAAAGAAACTAACCCTCGTTTCATTGGCCAATCTTGAATTGAAAAACTCTATGTGTTGCTCTTAAATTAATTAATCCTTATGATTCACGCTGTCGAGAGCACTACGAAATTGAACGGCGGGTCTAGGGTTTCGAAGGAAGAGGTTTTCGGCAGAGCCCTTCGTTTCTGAAGTATGCTATTAATTTGTTAATTTTTTTTATTTACGTACTGATTTCCTTTTTTTTTTTTTTATTATGTGGTAAAATCTTATAAATGTAAAAACGAAAATGTTTTTGACTATTCTGGATATCACACAATCCGGATAGAAAAGTTGGAAACCAGTTTCTCTTTTATTGGTCCAGAAATCAAAACACTAAAAGTACATACTTGGCAATTGCAATGTCTATCTAAAATACGTCATTTTTTGTGGCAAATTTTAACGGGTTGGGTGCCGGTCATTGAAAATTTACGGAAAAGAGAAATAGATTGTGACACAGGATGCACTAAATGTGGCGCACCACAAGAAACAATCTTTCAATGCCACCCAATACGATAGATTGGGCGCTTTCACAAATTCCTACGGCTATAGGAAATTTTTTCTCGGAATCTATTTATGCGAATTTAGATCATTTAATTTGGAGAATACCTTCAGAAGTCGATTCATCATATTTTTCATGGATTATTTAGTAGATTTGGAAATTAAGGAATGAAAGCATCTTTGAGAATGTGGACAAAGACCCTTTAAAGGTATTACGTTTAGTAGAAAAAGAGGTACAATTGTGACAGCCAGCTCAAGTCGAGCTTCATACAGAAAATCAGGTTTCTTTGGATTTGGATACTCGATATATCTCGAGTGAGGGGTGATTCACTTGCTTCCAATTATTCTGGATAATGTTGCTTTGTGGACGGATCATGGAAAGGAGGCGATAAGTTCTCTAGAACAAGGTGGTTCTGTATATCATCAAATGGACAGATTGCCAATCATGGGATCTGCCAACCTCCGTAGAAATTTATCTCCACTACATACAGAAGTCGAAGCCCTTCTCTGGACGATGAAGTGTAT